GACCTAAAATAAGGTCTGTGAGAGGGAGAGAAGGAAGGAAGGAGATGCCAATGCTTTCTCTGCCTTCTCCCAGACTGGTGTGGAGGAGACTCACCCGGCAACACGCGCAAGGGGGTGAGATAAAGAAGGAGAGGGAGAGATGGAAGGAAAGCTGTTGCACTCACCAGTGCTTTTTTGACCTTGGGAGGCTTCCCAGGCCAGGACAGAGAAGACTCATCCGATAGCACTGGCGACAAAGCAAGAGAGAGACTCTCTCAAAGTAGTAGTAGTAGTAGTAGTAAGCTCCCATTGCCACACATTAGGTGTAATGGGAAAGCAGTCCTTCGTAAAACTCTGTTTCGGCCCCAAAGTTGTTGTTGTTGTTAGCCCCCATTGCCAAACACAAGCGTTTGTAAGACCCTGTTCCATGTGGCGCCTTGGTGTCCTTTTTCAGGCCTGTTCCTGGGGTTATTTGGGGTGCTGATTCAGAAAATTGCCTTGAATACACTACATAAGCTCTCGATTATTAGAGTTTTCTGTAGGCAAGCAGATGGCGACTACTGGGTGGCATATGTTATTTATCAGACATTAGACCTGATGTGGTCTATCCAATGCAGTTTTCTGAATCAGCATTCCAAATAATTATACCAAATCTAAAGTTGTAAAAAAAAGATTCATAACCCTTTTGGTACTAATGTTGGAGAGTGGACCCTGGTCAAAAAAGGTTGGGAAGCACTGATATAAAAGGTAATACAGTGTATAAAACTACATTAACAATATCTGTGGAAAATGTGTTTGAACGTTGTCTTGGTGCTTTCTGACTGAAGGGGGCCTTCTCCAACTTTGCCACTTATGTGATTCAAAGAGGCACCCCATTTTAAGAGGTATGTATATTGAGGGTGTGTGTGTCTTAGACTTGAAGAAATGGGGTTATATTGTGTACGAAATTACATCCAAGCAATGTGCATAAGGCATATATAAAGCCTCCGGTGGCACAGTGGGTTAAACTTGTTGACTGAAAGGTCGCAGGTTCGATTCTGGGAGCAGTGTGAGCTTCCACTGTCAGCCCCAGCTTCTGCCAACCTAGCAGTTTGAAAACATGCAAATGTGAGATCAATAGGTACTGCTCCGGTGGGAAGGTAACGGTGCTCCATGCAGTCATGCTGGCCACATGACCTTGGAGTCGTCTATGGACAACACCGGCTCTTCGGCTTAGAAATGATGAGCACTAACCCCCAGAGTCGGACACAACTGGACTTAATGTCAAGGGAAAACCTTTATATACACTAGCCATCCCTTGCCACAGGTTGCTGTGGCCCAGTCTATGTATATGTGCTTTGTGTGTGTATATATAATTTTTTTATTTCTTGGCTTTTTAAGTCCCTTCTGTTCTGTTTTTCTGTGTTTTTATGAGTGATGGTCACTCGTTGGCCTGATAGGTGTATTGTGTTCAAATTTGGTGTCCATTCGTCTGGTGGTTTTGAGTTCTGTTAATCCCACAAACGAAGATTACATTTATATATATAGATAGATAGATATGGTGCATATATGTGAATTTCATGAGATGTCTCATGATGTACCAGGCATGGGCAAGCTTGGGCCCTCCAGATGTTTTGGACTTCAACTCCCACAATTCCTAACAGCCTCAGGCCCTTTCCTTAAGTGGCTGAGGGGGGAAAGGAAAGGGCCTGAGGCTGTTAGGAATTGTGGGAGTTGAAGTTCAAAACATCTGGAGGGCCCAAGCTTGCCCATGCCTGGTACATCATGAGACATATCATGAAATTCACATATATGTAATCTTCGTTTGGGAAGGGCCTGAGGTTGTTAGGAATTGTGGGAGTTGAAGTCCAAAACATCTAGAGGGCCCAAGTTTGCCCATGCCTGGATAAGGGATAGCCAACCTGGCAGCTGACTACTTGATAAACATGTTAATTCTTCTGCAAGGCTCTGGCGTGTATGGCTGCCATGTCTGTGTGGGGAATGTGTGTGTGTGTCCCCTTCTGCTTCCTGCTTGGAGTGAGGGCTGCCCTCGCGCTCTGCCCGCTGGCCCCGCCCCCTTCCAAGGTGCCTCTCTCTCTCTCTCCCCTTCCAGCCCGTCAATGGCGGTTGGCGCATGCGCACTACCCGGAGGCGGCCCAGGCCATGGCGGCCGTTTAAAGGTAACCGAAATCAGTCGGAACCGGAGCGGCGGATTTGTTGTTTTCTTTCCGCACCGGGCTCCCCCCTCCCTTCGCCCGCTTTTTCCCGCCGCCTGCCTTTAGGAAGCCGTAAAGGGGCGCAAGGGCAGAGGAGGAGGAAGGGAACGGGCTCCGTCTTCCCGCCTGCTTGTGGGTTTCAGGCCCGAGATTATTTTCCTCACAAAAACAACCAACTTGAGGGAGAGGGAGGCATCCCGAGGAGGCGGAGGGCTAGAGTGAGGGCAGGAAAGGCCTCCCTTCCTATTCAGCCTTGGAGGAAGTTGCCTTTTAGCCAGCCCATGCCGTTGCTCTCCCTCCATCCCTTTGAACCTGAGGGAAGAGCAGTCGAGTAGCAAGGCCCTGATTCCCACCACAGAGACTACTTCCGCGTCTGGGGCTTGAAGGGAGATTGGCAAACGACCCCTTAGTGTTGGGGAAGGCCCACATGTTCCTGGGCCCACCTTTTCCCCATCGAGGCGCCCAAAAGCGGAGAAAGGGGACCCCAAGGAGGAGGAAGAAAGGGACCCCGAGGAGAAGGAACTCTAGAGAAGAGCCCACAGCGCCTCACTCTGTTGGGGAACCAAATTCCACCCTTTTTTATCCCTTTGGAGGGTAGAAACTGCTTTTTTCCCTCCAAATTAAATAGTGGGGAATGCATCCCCCCACTTTAGGGGGAAGGGGGGCTGCTCCTCCCTATAAAAGAAACCCATAGAAGAGCTTGAACCCTCCTTGTCCTGCCAGACGTTGCTCTCTCCCAAGTGGATGGCTTTATTCCTTCTTCTTTGTTAGATAGGGAGGTTCAGAAATCTTAAGTCCCAACAGGTGAAGCCCACAATCAGGGCCCAGTATTGTAAACACCCTTTTGTTATTAGTTGGGAAAAAGTGGAAGACTGCCCTGTCTCAACTCCCTATTTGTTTATTTATCTTAGTTAGTCAAGGGGCTCCCTATTTTCCTTTCCCTGTACACCCCATTCCCCACTGTTTTGGGGGAAAAGTTGAGAGGTTCCCTATTTTCCTTTCCCTGAAGCACCCCATTCCACACTGTTTTGGGGGGAAGTCAGAGCCCCAGTTTTGGGGGGAAGCCAGAGCCCCACTGTTTTGGGGAAAAGTCAGAGCCCTACTCTTTTGGGGGGAAGTCAGAGCCCCGCTGTTTTGGGGGGAAGTCAGAGCCCCGCTGTTTTGGGGGGAAGTGAGAGCCCCGCTGTTTTGGGGAAAAGTCAGAGCCCCGCTGTTTTTGGGGAAAAGTCAGAGCCCTGCTGTTTTTGGGGAAAAGTCAGAGCCCCACTGTTTTTGGGAGAAAGTCAGAGCTCCACTATTTTGGGGGGAAGCCAGAGCCCCGCTTTTTGGGGGGGAAAGTCAGAGCCCCACTGTTTTGGGGGAAAGTCACAGCATTGAAACCACCCCTTTTGTTTGTTAGGGAAGAGTGTTAGTTAGGGAAGAGTGGGGGCTTTCCCTGCCTCAGCGCCTTGTTTATTTATTCATTTTTGTTAGGGGGCTCCGTTTTCCTGTTCTTGTAGCAACCCCCCCCCCCCATTTTGAGGGAAATTTTGTGGGAAAGTCAGAACCCAGAATTGAAACCACCCTTTTGTTGTTAGTTAGGGAAGAGTTGGAGGACTTTCCTTCCTTGCCCTATTTATGTTTTTTAGTTAATTGAGGGGCTCCCTGTTTTCATCTCCCTATAATACCCCTTACCCTGTCCTTTGTATTGGGGGAAAGTAGAGGCCTCGAAGCAGCGATGGAGCCCAATTAGGAGCCCAATTGAACCCTCCTTGTCCTGCCAGACGTTGCTCTCTCCCAAGTGGATAGCATTATTCCTTCTCCATGGGCCTTTGTTAGATAGGGAGGTTCAGAAATCTTAACTCTCCCAACAGGTGAAGCTCACAATCAGGGCCCAGCATTGAAACCACCCCTTTGTTGTTAGTTAGAGAAGAGTGAAGGGCTTCCCTGTCTCAGCTCCCTATTTATTTTCGTTAGTCAAGGGGCTCCCTGTTTTCCCTCTCCCTGCAGCACCCCATTCCCTAGTTTTGGGGGAAAGTGGGAGGCCAGATTTGAAACCTTTTGTTATTAGTTAGGGAAGAGTGGAGGGCTTCCTTGCCTCTGCGCCCTATTTGTTTTTTAGTTAGTCAAGGGGATCACTGTTTCCCTCTCCCTGTAGCACCCCATTCCCACTGTTTTGGGGGGAAAGTCAGGGCCCAGATTTGAAACCACCCTTTTATTAGTTCGGGAAGAGTGGAGGACTTCCCTGGCTCAGCACCCTATTGATTTATGCTGTCACTTCCCTATAGCACCTCATGGCCCACTGTTTGGGGGGGGGGGGGGGGGAATTAGAGCCCAGAATTGAAACCACCCTTTTATTAGTTAGGGAAGAGTGAAAGACTTCCCTGTCTCAGCACCTTGTTTATTTTTTAGTTAGTCAAGGGTTAGGGTTAGTCGAGGGTCCCTGTTTTCTTCTCTCTGTAGTACCCCCCCCCCCCAATTTGGGGGGAAAGTCAGTGCCTAGAATTGAAACCACCCTTTTGTTATTAGGGGAAAGTGGAGGACCCCCTCCCCCCGCCTCAGCGCTCTATTGATTTTTGTTTTTGAGTTAGTGGAGGGGCTCCCTGTTTTCCTCCTCTCCCTGTAGCACCCCATTCCCTCCCCCCTGTTTTGGGGGGGAAAGGAGAAGAGGACTGGAGGCAGCGATGGGGCGAGCAGAAGGAGGACCCGGAGGAAGAGGAGGAGGGCGGCGGTGAGTCCGTGAAGCCGTCCGAGGACAAGCCAAGGGGGCCGTCGGAAGAGCAAGCAAGGGGGGCGATGGGTCTTGGTGGGGCGGGAGGCGACGTCGTGGGCGCCCCCCGAGGGGTCCAGGCGGGGGAAGAGGAGGAGGAGGAAGAAGGCGGCGGCGAGACGGCGGCGGAGGCACCGCCAAAGAAGCCCCGTCCGGAGCCTGAAGCCGCGGCTGCCCCATCGCCATGAGATCCACCGTGTACAAAGCCACCGCCGCGGCCCCACCGACACCAACAGCTGCGACGACGACGGGGCCGGGCTTGCTGGAGCCTGGCCCGGAGGAAGAGGAGGAGCCTCCGCCTCCTGTGGCTGTGGCTGCAGCGGCGGCGGCGTCAGGCCCCAAAGGCCGGGCTCCTGCCTCCTTGCAGCAGGAAGGGGGAGAAGGCCTCGGCGGGAGCGGTTGCTGCTGGAGCGGCTTGGTGGTGCCCTCGCCGGGCACTGGGCAGCAGGCGGGCGTGGGCGATGCCCGGCCCTCCAAGTACCAGGCGGTGCTGCCCGGACAAGCGGCGGCGGTTGTTGCTGCTGCTGCTTCCACCGCCGCCAAGGAGGGCAAGCGAGGAGGAGGAAGCGGAGGAGGGAGCAGCCCCCACGCCGGGCCCGGAGGCTCCCCGGCCTCGCTTTCCCCCGCTCCCTTGCCCACCGAGCCCGGACAGCCTCCCCCCGCGGCTGCAGAGGAGCCCAGCGGCAAGTGGAAAAGCAGCAGCGTTGTTGGGAGCACCAGCGGTGGTGGTGGGAGCAGCCTTCGGAAGAGCCCCATGGGGGCCGGCGGGGGCGCCTCCAGCCAGGCGGCCTGCCTCAAGCAGATCCTGCTGCTCCAGCTGGACCTTATCGAGCAGCAGCAGCAGCAGTTGCAGGCCAAGGAGAAGGAGATCGAGGAGCTCAAGGCCGAGAGGGACACGGTGAGTTGGGGCGGACACAGGGTTAACGGCCCGAGGGTTGGCGGGAGAACGCGTTTGAAGGGGCAGGAAGAGAAGGGTTAAGCCACACTGGTTGGGCGCCAACCGGCCTCCACAGGGTTAAGCCAGAGAGAGAGGGAGGAGGGAGAGGGCTCGCGCGCGTTGGGCGCCTGCTCTTAGGAGTGGGAGGGGCCAATGGAAATCCTCGCAGGGGCCTATGGGGAACTTCGGGGCTGGGAGGGGAGGAGGGAATGGGCTCGAAAGAAAGAAAGGCCCGGGCTGCCACTTGAATAGCAGGGCCCTTTCGCCCAGACTACCACGGCAGGAAAAACCCCACATTTTCTGCTTTGAACTGTGTGGACTCAGACAACCCAGTTCAAAGCAGATATTGGGGGATTTTCTGCATTCATATCTTGGGATATAGGGCTGTGTGGAAGGCCCCCCACACAGCAGTGTAAAAACCCACTTTCTCTGCTTTGCACTGAAATATATGGCACTGTAGATTCATAATCCAGGGTCCTTCCACACAGCCCTATATCCCAGAACATCAAGGCAGAAAATCCCACATTATCTGAGTGTGGACTCAGACAACCCAGTTCAAAGCAGATACACAGCAGTATAAAAACCCACTTTCTCTGCTTTGCACTGGGATATATGGCAGTGCACTTTGGGCCTTTCCACACAGCCCTATATCCCAGAACATCAAGGCAGAAAATCCCACATTATCTGAGTGTGGACTCAGACAACCCAGTTCAAAGCAGATACACAGCAGTATAAAAACCCACTTTCTCTGCTTTGCACTGGGATATATGGCAGTGTAGACTCATAATCCAGGGCCCTTCCACACAGCCCTATATCCCAGAACATCAAGGCAGAAAATCCCACATTATCTGAGTGTGGACTCAGACAACCCAGTTCAAAGGAGATACACAGCAGTATAAAAACCCACTTTCTCTGCTTTGCACTGGGATATATGGCAGTGTAGACTCATAATCCAGGGCCCTTCCACACAGCCCTATATCCCAGAACATCAAGGCAGAAAATCCCACATTATCTGAGTGTGGACTCAGACAACCCAGTTCAAAGCAGATACACAGCAGTATAAAAACCCACTTTCTCTGCTTTGCACTGGGATATATGGCAGTGTAGACTCATAATCCAGGGCCCTTCCACACAGGCCTATATCTCAGAACATCAAGGCAGAAAATCCCACATTATCTGAGTGTGGACTCAGACAACCCAGTTCAAAGCAGATACACAGCAGTATAAAAACCCACTTTCTCTGCTTTGCACTGGGATATATGGCAGTGTAGACTCATAATCCAGGGCCCTTCCACACAGCCCTATATCTCAGAACATCAAGGCAGAAAATCCCACATTATCTGAGTGTGGACTCAGACAACCCAGTTCAAAGCAGATACACAGCAGTATAAAAACCCACTTTCTCTGCTTTGCACTGGGATATATGGCAGTGTAGACTCATAATCCAGGGCCCTTCCACACAGCCCTATATCCCAGAACATCAAGGCAGAACACCCCACATCTGAGTGTGGACTCAGACAATCCAGTTCAAAGCAGATATTGTGGGATTTTCTGCATTCATATTTTGGGATATATGGCTGTGTGGAAGGGCCTCACACAGCTGTATAAAAACTCACTTTTTTCTTTGAACTGGGATATATGGCAGTGTGGACTCATAACCCAGGGCCCTTCACACAGAGCCCTATATCCCAGAATATCAAGGCAGAAAAGCCCATAATATCTGCTTTGAGCTGGGTTATCTGGGGGCTCTTCCACACAGCCTTATAACCCAGAATATCAAGGCAGAAAATCCCACATTATCAGAGTGTGGACTCAGATAACCCAGTTCAAAGCATATATTGTGGGATTTTCTGCATTCATATTCTAGGATATAGGGCTGAGTGGAAGGCCCCCCACACAGCAGTATAAAAACCCCACTTTCTCTGCTTTGCACTGAAATATATGGCAGTGTAGACTCATAATCCAGGGCCCTTCCACACAGCCCTATATCCCAGAACATCAAGGCAGAAAATCCCACATTATCTTAGTGTGGACTCAGACAATCCAGTTCAAAGCAGATATTGTGGGATTTTCTGCATTCATATTCTGGGATATAGGGCTGAGTGGATGGCCACCCACACAGCAGTATAAAAACCCACTTTCTCTGCTTTGCACTGGAATATATGGCAGTGTAGACTCATAATCCAGGGCCCTTCCACACAGCCCTATGTCCTAGAACATCAAGGCAGAAAATCCCACATTATTTAAGTGTGGACTCGGACAATCCAGTTCAAAGAAGATATCGTGGGATTTTCTGCATTCATATTTTGGGATATAGGGCTGTGAATGAATTGATTGTTTATTGTACTAGCCATAGGCCATGACATAAAATATACAACCTTTAAAAGTACAATAAGCACTTTCCAATATAAGTATTAAAACATGTTCTGTATACTGGCTCTTTAAAATTATAGTAGTAGTGACATGATAACAATTACAAATGTCTGATTTGTATCATCCCAAAATATCTCAATTTCTAGCTTTTGCTGTGGATGGGTCCCACACAGTTGTATAAAAACCCACTTTCTCTGCTTTGAACTGAGACTCATAACCTAGGGCCCTTCCACACAGCCCTATATCCCAGAATATCAAGGCAGAAAAGCCCATAATATCTGCTTTGAGCTGGATTATCTGGGGGCTTTCTGCCTTGATATTCTGGGATAAAGGGTGTGTGGAAGGGCCCTGAGTCCACACTGCGGTATATTCCAGTTCAAAGCAGATACTTTGAGATTTTCTTCCTTAATATTCTGGGATATAGGGCTGTGGCAGTTCAACGCAGATCTTGTAGATTATCTGCCTTGATACTCTGAGTTATATGGCGGTGTGGAAGGGGCTAGAGGGCATTTTAGGGAGAAGTTTCTGTCACTGTAGACATGGGAGAATATTGATCAAGGAAAAACAGAGAGGGAGACCCACTTGTGTAGTCGGAAGTGAACAAAAGAGAGTCCAAGCCAGTTTGTGTACTTGAGGTCAAATCGCCCCTCCTTCCCCATAGGACATTGAGAAATTGTGTTAGCTTTGAGGGTATTCTCCCTGATTTTGTCAGTTAAAATATGATTAGCCCTGGTTCGTAGAATCATAGAATATTAGATTTGTAAAAAACCACATGAGCCATCTAGGTCAAACCCCTGCCATGCAGGAAAAACACCAAGTATCCTTAACAGATGGCCATCCAGTCTCTGTTTAAAAGTTTCCAAGGAAGGAGCTTCCACAACACTCAGAGGCAGAGAGCTCCACTATTGAACAGCAAGTATTTGGATGAGAAACTTCCAATAAATGCCAGTTGCTGTTGTCAATAGATCAGAAGAGGAATCTGGCAAAACCAACTCTTAAGGCTGGACCTATACTGCCTTATATCCCAGGATCTTATCCCAGATTATCTGTTTATCCCAGATTATCTGGCAATGTAGACTCATATAATCCAGTTCAAAGCAGGTAATTTTCGATCAGATCATGAGAATATAGGGCAGTGTAGATCCAATCTAAGGCTGACTCTACAATGCCATATAACATCCAGATTATCTGCTTTGAACTGAATTATATGACAGTATAGACTCATATAATCCAGTTCAAAGTAGATAATGTGGATTATCTGCTTTGATAATTTGGATTATATGGCAGCCTAGATCCCGCCTTTATTTATTCAGCTGTGTCCCTTCCACACAGCTGAATAAATCCCACAGTATCTGTTTCGAATTGGAATATATTGCAATGTGGACTCAGATAACTCAGTTCAAAGCAGATATCGTGGGATATTATTTATTTATTTATTTACTTTATTTGTATACTGCTGTTCTCGGCCCTTAGGCGACTCACAGCGGTTAACAACAAGAACTGCCAAAACAGCAAAAATTCAATGCTACAATAACACGGTATAAAACAGTTAACCTCGTAACACATTATACAATAATATACAATTAACAACAATAGCCATTCACTAGCATCTCATCACTAAAAACGTGATCCAGATCCGTCATCCATTGTTCCATTCCTATGTTCATTACAGTCATTGCACTGACTATTCGAACGCCTGCTCAAACAACCAGGTCTTCACTTTTTTGCGGAATACCATTAATGATGGAGCTAGTCTAATATCCGTGGGAAGGGCGTTCCACAGCCGAGGGGCCACCACCAAGAAGGCCCTATCTCTCGTCCCCACCAGCCGTGCCTGTGAGGCAGGTGGGATCAAGAGCAGGGCCTCCCCGGAAGATCTCAAAGTCCTGGTGCGTTCATAGGCAGAGATGCGGTCGGATAGGTAGATTGGTCCGGAACCGTTTAGGGCTTTAAAGGCCAACGCCAGCACTTTGAATTGAGCCCAGTAGCAAATCGGTAGCCAGTGGAGTTGGCGCAACAGGGGGGTTGTATGCTCCTTGCGTTCCGCTCCTGTTAGAATTATATGTGTTATGTGGAAGGACCCTACTTTTAAAATCCTGTAAAATTCATGGAATAGTCATAAGTCAACAGGTCACTTGAAGGTGTGCACGCACGCAAACACACACACACACACACACACACTTCAGTGTTATTGGGCAAGGGTAAAAGGTTCCTTTTTATTGGGACTTTTATTCCACTTCCCATTTTATTGGGAAAAGCAGGCTGAAATTTAAATGATTTGAGGTGTAGCATGATAAGAGGTTAAATATGATCACCTTTGACCTCTACCATGCTACAGTTCCTTAAGCTATTTAAATAAAATCATGATGTTTTCTCTTAGGGCAGGCAGGTTTTTCATAAAATTAAAAAAGGAACCTTACTGTTTGTAGGCTAAAGTGGAGGCAGCCCCTCAATAAAGAGAAGGTATTTCAAGGGTTAATGTTCAAGGGCAGCTGAAGGCTTAGCTGGAAATGGAACTAGAAGGGAGCCTGGACGAGGGAGGGGATGGTACTGCATGAGTTAATAAGCAGCCATGAAAGGGGTTGACACCCTGGAGGTTAAGCTGAGGGGCAAGTTGGGAAGGTTGACGGGTGGAGTTAAGAACCCTGCCTGGCACTACCCCAGGCACACAGTGTTAAGGATTTGGGAGAGGTTGCAGTTATTAGGGAGTTAATCAGCAGCTGACCAGGCAAGGCAGGGTTTGTAGCTGCTTCTGTCCCTTGTATCAGCAGAGCTGTAGTAATAGCAGGGTTAATTTAAAGCTGCCCACCTGTGGTATACAAAGGGTTAATTTAAAGGGGTCTTGGCTTGGAGCTGCATGGGAGGGAGAGAGGCTTGATCAAAATAAGTCAGCTGCAGTGTCCATGTGAACAATAGAGGAAGGCTTTTGAGCTGGTGCCTTTTACAAGGAATATTATAAGTATAGACTTGGTGCTCTTCTTCCACCTCTTCCCTTCTAGAGATACTGTTCTTCCCCCCTCCCTTTTCACAGACACCACAGCCCACTTAAAAAATAATCACTATTACAAAATGTGTTTTTGGTGGTACTCCTGCAAGGTACTTCTCCCCACCCTTGCCCTGGCACCTTGCAACTCTTGTTTGTCCTTCTTGTGTTTGGTGAAAGCCAACAGTTTAGAGTCCCTGGGTCCTACAACATGACAGGGGCTTTCATGGAGAGTTTTCCTCCTAGTTATAGCCACAACTGTAAAATGATGTTTACAATAAATATGTGGGAGGGGGAGATGCTTCACAACCCTCTTAAACTATCACCATAAGAGCTGAATGGGAACACAAGATGAAACTGAGGGAGATCCTTAGGATCAACTGCAAATGAAGGTTGGTTGGCTTTTGTTGCTTTTAAAGTTACTATCTACAGCAAAAGTAGTTTAGAGCATAATGCACATTTCTAAGTTATGCTCCTAGAAATAACGGTTTAGTATGCCATCATTTCTGTCCCTCATTCCCTGTCCCCAAATTGCCACAAAAGACTTGTAATCCTGGCCCCTATGCATGGCACGTGTGCTGCCTAAAAATAGTCCCCTCTTCTCAGTTCTTGCAGCTGCTGCATCCATTATTATCAAGGAAAAAAGTGTTTCTACCTCCTCCCTCTGGAGACATGTTTGTCAGGGTTTGTGTTTGTAGTGTGAGATGCAGTGGTAGCATTAGCTTTTGATTTGCAAAAAGTGGTAGCAGCTTAATATTTTTACCGTTCATAGCAGAAAGCTGTGATCCAAAACAGATAGTGTAAAAACAAATCTCCCGTCAGGCCCCTGTAAAGTTAACCAATATGGAGGTGCCAGCTGCCGTTTTGCAGTCAAGGATGTGATGATGGCAGACTGAATACTTACCGTGCTTTTGCAAAGGCTGGGGGGGGGGGGGCACACAAACCCACACACACATCCTGAGGAGGTAGAATACTCACAGCACATATGCAAAGAGTATGAGTCAGGCTGATTCTAGCACAGTTGAGTTGGTTGTTGTTGCAGTTCCTGACTGCAGATTTGCAAAGTATCTGCAGTGGTTCTTTCTCTTATCCCCAAGTGCCATTCTTTTTTATGGAGTAATGCCAAAATCTTTAGTATTTTTGTTTCACTTGTGGAAATATTTGAGAGCTTTTGGACTTCATTTTACAGAGTGATCTTCTCTGTCTGCCACATTAGTGTCCAAAATGGAGGCTTTGCAGAAGAGATTGTTAGATGAATTAGACGTGCTTCTGGAAGGATTTATTAAAAAACGGAGATACCCTTGATCCGCGATAACATCAGTTTGCATTCCTGTTGCACTGTAGTTTGCATCTTTGGTACCCCCTTTTAACATTCCATTTCATATGCTTGGTAGTTTTTGGACACTGTTACACAACTCTTATATTAAAGATATATTTAATGGTTGCAGTATGCTAGGTAGTATAGATAAAAATATACGTGTAGGGAAAGACAAAGAATACAGGGATTTGATGACAATAGCTCAAGAAAAGGATAGTTTTTTTTAAAGTAAGTTGCTATTCATTCCCATTTTATAGCTAGGGAACTAAAGCAATAGAGAGTGATATCAAAAGCTTTCACAGCTGTGCTGAATTTGGGTTCTAACATCCAATGAGTACTGTTTTTCCCTATTGTGAATGTTTCTATATTTTGTTATATGTCTATGTGGAAGTGTTAAATATAAACCTTTGGGACTGGTGCAGAATGTGTGGCTTGAAAAACATGGGGAGAAGATCTGTTCCCAGTGCTATTGAATGAACATGAGCGTGGAAGAAGTAGTAAACATCACACTGTGTTTTTAACAAGGAAGTAGAATTAAACATGGACATCTACAAAGTGCCTGATGCTATAAGTGAAAACAGAAGGTGCAGAAGCTACTTATCTTTCATAAATATACCATTACATGTGTATCATTCAAGTGGGATATATATGCAGGTTTTATTTAAATTTACAGAAGGAGAACATTGCATGGTATAGCTGAAATGTTACTCCATCTTGACTGAAGAATCACTCCATTCCTGCTTTACTGAAGCATTGATGTTACCTTCAGTTTCTCTCCCACCCATCCTCCCTGTCCCCCATTTCATCTAGTGATCTGGAAATATTCTTCCCAATTCTTCTCTGTAGATTTCATGTAAATCCTTATTATTTTCCACAGTGAAAGCAAGTAGCATAGAGTTTTCTTACAAAAGAAATCAGTGATGTCTGCAGATATATCCTGAGAAAAAGATATAGTGTTGACTAAACTGATAACTGCAACAAAACATTTCAAACACCAATTCGTTAGTAAAATGGAGTTCTATTCTTAATCATCATACTTTTAAAATGGAGGCAAAATTGGCATCCCAGTTTGAAAGAGAGATTGATGTGGAGTAAGCATGTCCAAACAGGACCCAGTACTATCAAGGCTTGTAAGCAAATATCAGCACTCCCAGGTAATTATTGCAAGGCTGATTTTTCACAAGGTGAATTCTTGTAACTGAAAATACCATATTTGATATTTAACACATTGCACTGTTGTGTCCTCAGCTCCTTGCTCGAATTGAGCGCATGGAAAGGAGGATGCAGCTGGTGAAGAAGGACAATGAACGTGAGAAACACAAGATATTTCCAGAGTATGAAACAGAGGAGACAATTGAACCTGAAGTACCAGAGAAGTCACCTATAGAATGTCCACTGCCAGAGCTCTTGGAGACATCCCATCCACTGCCTTTGAAACACTTCCCATATGGACGGAATGGAAAGGGCCACAAAAGGTAATGCCAAGATTGCTGGTCTGTGCTTTCAAATATGCTTTTACAAGGTTTCCACCCATGAACCATTGGGAGTTGCATTCTATAAAAGAGCTAAGAATTTTGATAAAGAAATTTGGCAATGTTTGATATTCTTGGAAGGACTTTGTGGTGATTAAATTTGGGTTCAAAACTCTTAGGTCAGTGGTTTTCAACTTGTGGGTCCCCAGATGTTTTAGCCTTCAACTCCCAGAAATCCTAACAACTGGTAAACTGAGTGGGATTTCTGTGAGTTGTAGGCCAAAACACCTGGGGACCCACAGGTTGAGAACAACTGTCTTAGGTTCATGTACCATCTTTGTAAAAACTATGATAACCACTGAATTTTGAGTTGATTTCTCATTTCTAAGCTACTTCACAATAGAACTGTAGAATTCCTGTGCGGTTTTCTTCTTCTTCTTCTTCTTCTTCTTCTTCTTCTGTATTTGCTGCTGTAGACATATCCTTGTTTTTTCTGCAGGAAGTCTCCATTTGGAAGTGCTGAGAGGAAAAATCCAATGAAGAAGCTGGTGGCTGAATTTGCAAAAGTCAAATGTAAATCTCCAAAGGCTTCTGCACTGAAAGATGAACCCAGCAGTTCTTTGACTGAATCAATTAACAGACGTGAACTAAGAAGTCAGGAAACTCCTGAAAAAACTAGATCACTTGGAGACACTCCGCTGAAATCCTCAGCATCTTTGAAAGGACATGGGTGCCATTCAAAGGAAAGGGACTCCTGCAGTGAAACAGAAGACTTACCCTACCTTTCCACCACTGACATGTACTTGTGCCGGTGGCACCAGCTGCCTCCTTCACCATTACAAGAAACTTCTTCCAAGGAGGATATTGTAGCAAGTAAGAGGCTTGCTTGTGCCTTTGTGGTGGTTGGTGTGAGGTGGGTTGGAGGGGCATGGAACTTACTCATTTAGGGGTCTTCTTTAGAGGCTTTTGAACACTCGAAGAGAGTCGGATGGCAACATTCCTTTTCTGAGTGATGCTGTGTCAGGTTCTAGACCTGGCTGGAAAATTGAAGTCTCTGAAACTCATACCACTTTAGACCAGGTGTGGGCAATGTGCAAAGAAGATTGGCCACTTTAGTGATCCGTGGTGACTTTTTGAATAACCATGACGTTTGTAGCATACAATGCTCACAGTGTATGCTCTAAGTATCGGTTTTTGTTAGCAAGCAGCTCTTGATGACTCATGTTGGGGATTGGCAGTGTGACAGTCATCTTTTTATGTGAAGACTAGGTGAAAACAGTTCTGTCCTGGGAGATGTGTATTTGCTGGCATGACCAAGAGCCCAAAGTTGCTGGAATCTTCGAATATCTTTTGTTCTCAAATCAGGTTGCTCTATAAACCATATCAGATTAGCTGCATTTCAGATAAGCTCTTTCGCACACATGTAAGGCACTCAGGTACAGTTTTTTTCTCTCTCCTAGTAATGTTTCCAGCTGCAATACCCACAAGCTATTGAGTTTGATATCAGACTGCTTTGTCAATCAAGATATCTGTCTTCATCTGGAGTTGTAAAGAAATAATTTGCACTCTTATTTGAGATAGTTTGCACCAGCAGCACCTCCAGTTTTTTTTAAAAGGAGAAAGTGAGTAGGGAATGCATGTGTGTATATTCATATAGGAGTTTTGTTTAGAGAAAAATGGGTCTCACTTTACAGGTTGGAGCTGAAAAACAATTGAACTAAAGTAAGAAGAACTCTTATCAGTACATAACTGTTTTTGGTTTGCAAGGTTTTTTAAAAGGACAACCCAAAGCACATACATTTTGCATTAACCGTGGTAAGAAGTCACACGATGTCTGCTTTAAGCCATATTAATGAGTAACATTTTGAAGTCAATCTGTGGTATAGATTTATTAAGGTAAGATATGGCACAATCAAGTTTTTATCTCTTTTTTTGTTAAGGGGAGAACACAATTGTGCGTTTAGACTCAGCTATACAAATCAATACCATAGGGGGGAAATTTTCATATTTTGTGTTTACATACTCATTTTGCTTGATTTTACTTTTTTATTTTAAAGTTTTTTTTTAAAAAAAAACCTAGAGTTTTGTATATTATTTTTTCCCAATAAGCAGAGCTGCTGGTGGAAGAGGAATGGTAAGTGATGACTCTTAGGGTATTTGTGTGATTAGGTGATGACTGTGAATAGAAGCAAATCGGCATTTGGCTATATATCATTCACAAACTATGATCTGAGCATATTTGACATACAGCTGCAGGTTCTTCTATGTTCTGTTCAATTTTCCACAATTCTGAAAAAGTAGCAAACTACTGAACCTATATGCAGTAAGTATTCAATAAAGCAAGTTCTTTCTCAAGGTATATCATATTTGATCTTCAGGATCTCTTAATGCAAAATGTACAACTTTGTATTTGTTTGTGTAATTTGCTATAATATTTTCAGTTTATCTTTGTTTGACCAAGAGATGTGGTTGATTAACCAAACCATGCGCAGAAATCTTAGGGAACCAGGGGATCAAAAAAAAAGGAGTGGTTCAATTCTAAATGCTCTGAAACTGCAAAAATGTTCTTTGAAATCACTAAACTCTCCTAGAGTTAGTTGTTAGATTTCCTAGAGAGAAGCCACAACTGTTAATCTAGTTTACGTCTATAGCAGTGATGGGGACTTTGGTCTGTTAGATGCTTTGAACTTCATCTCTTATCATTTCCACCTGACATAATTGTAGAGTCTAAGTCAGGCATGGGCAAACTGTTAGGAATTGTAGAAGTTGAAGTCCAAAACACCCGTAGGGCCGAAATTTGCCCATGCCTGGTCTAAGCCTATAACATAGTACTGCTTTTTAGTGTAGTCAGCAGGAAAGAAACTGTCTGATGTTCAAGGGGCTTGTACTTAGTGTTAGCCAGTTTTCAACTTTATGAGCATGAAAGCTCAAAGAAACATGGAGGTTTGTGATCTTGTTCAACAGATGAAAAGGGCCCAAGAATATGATGACGGCATCATCCTCTCAAGATAATTTTGTTTCTGCTTTTACCTGTTAATTAGGCAGAGTAGCAGATAGTGAAAAACTCTGACCTTGTTCCTGTTGTATGTTTGTGTAGGAATTATATACAGTGGGAACTTTGGTATCTGTTGGGGTTTGGATCCAGAATTCAAATGGATACCAAAATGACAGACAACTCAACAAAGGCTGGAGAGAGCCTGAGGATCTGTGGCCAGGGGCTGCAGGAGGGTGTGCCTATGTATCAGCACAGTACTTGAAGCACAGCAAAATAAATTTAACATATTTTTGTGCTATGGTTGGTTGAATCCCTGATTGAAGAACCCATGGATACACAGGGTCAATTGTATTTTCCTCAACTGCTTAATTGTTGTTATACCTCTCTCATCAAGTTGTTCTTGCTTTCATAGTTATAAACTTTTCAATGCGGGTATGGATGAAGGCAAATATGGTTGATGGTAGTCTTTTCTCCAGTGACTTTTGAGCCATAGGTCTTTCTGTCTTGGTTCCTGAGCGACTAGGAAGAGAATCCGTGGTAGACCGTTTTATGCATGAACTGCTTTTCCTCTGACCCCCCTCTCTGCCACAAATCTCTTAAAAGTAGCCATTTTGCCCATATACTATTTGGTAGTTGGGGTTCTTGGATGCAGATTATTCTGGATAGAAGAAAATGTACTAAAGATTTGCAGTTTCTCCTGTTAAAATGGCATTCTAGAAATCTAAATCTGTTTTCTATAATTACATATATAGGAGCTAAATTCAATTATACTGCAATTTTGTGTTTTCCATCTTTTTAAATGTGATAACAAATTCATTTCTTAGGGAAGTTCTGAAGCAATTTCCTTCTGATGATTAAGAAAGATTTTTTTTCACACCAGATTGTAGAAACCTCTTCCTCTTAAAAGCAACTTGGTCTTAAAATCCAAGTGAAATTTACACAGCAGAATAAACTAGAATCTGGTCATCTTTTCTTTCTTCCATGTCCCCTCCCTCTTTTTTGGCCCTGGTCTTGTCTGATATGTGCTTGCAGTTTTGTGCTAGAGTATTGAAGAATGCTTTTATGGGGTCAGCTTATAATAAATTGTCCACAATTTTATAGTAACTTTGTGGGATTGGTTCAAAGATCTTTCTAATCTAGAAGGTTGTTCTGAACTGCAGCTAACCCGTTGCTTCTGGGAAGCTCACAAACCAAACATGAGGAAAGCAACCTTTGCTGTATTGCCATGAGTGGGAGTTATAGCTCTCCAGATGTTTTTGAACTGCAAGTTGTAGTAGTCCTATACGGCATAGTTCATGTTGAGGAGTGATAAAAGTTGCAGTCCCCTGGCAATGTATAGAGAGCTGCATGATTGCTCTGCCTTAATAAATCAAAAGTATTGTTCCCCTCTAAATGGGGAAATTTCACTTAGTTATCATGGGTAGTAACTATTAATCATCATAAAATTATCCTAACCCTTCTTTAAACATACTTGTCTCCCATGGCCTTTGCAACATCCTATGGTAGGAAAATACTGCAAGACTTGCAGACTTCTCAGTAATTACTCAGATGGCACTAGGGCTAATTTAAATCTCAAAATCTCTGGCTTGGAAAACTTTTGTTCCAAGTCAAGCCATTGGTTTGAGTGGTCTGGATAAACAGAAATTATCAGTCTCGAGACTAGGCAGTCTTTAAGATGCTAGTTTGTGAAAACATTCTGAAAGCTGCCAATTAACCTTTTGAGCTAGCTGGGAGAAAATGTGCTGCTGGTTTAGAGAATGCCTGGCAAAGGATTGAAGCAGGTTTATAAAATAGCATTTTACCCAATCATTTGTGGCATATAAAAACTCACGTCTAGGTGACAAGACAAAGAGGTTTTTGTAAATTGGAATAGAATGGTGTTTCTTTGTTTTTTAGGCTATTGATGCATACCACATTATGACTAACATAGGTATATAAAACATATGAGTATAGACCAGTAATTTTTTGGAACTTGAAAAATTGGCTTCAAGCCAACTCTTCATAAATGATTTTATTTAGGTGATTATTATTATAAATAAGATATTTAATAATTGTGTTGCAATTGTACTTGCTTGTTTGTGCTTTTGTATTTTGAGGGAGACCTGATTGTGCCATAAAATCAAATGATTTACCTGGAGGGTAGATCTCTACAAGTCAGTTCTATGAGTCTGTAAATAAAGGGATTTTAAAAAAGTTTTGGGCTGTTCACATGTGGTATTTTAGCTAAATACTACTTGGTACTATTACTAAAGGACATTGGTTTCTCAGTACTGAATATGAATGATCATGTTCTTCAGAATTTGTGAGCTCAGATTCAAAACCTTTTTTCAGCTACAAAGCTCATTTGGTGGTTGCAGAAAATCCTTCGGGCCTCAGCATGTTTGCACATAGAATGATATGTAACCTATTCTGAGCATTTGAAAAGAAAACTTGAAAGTCATTTTAACTACAGAAGCTGGGAACTACAAGCCATGTGGCCAATATTGGAAAATCTTAAGGTTTCTGAAGAAGACCAAGATTGTTTTTCAAGAGGACCAAGTTTATTATGTATATAGAGTAGTAAAAATGACAATAAGGTAGGCAAGCACCTTGCTAATTGATGTTACTGAAACATCTAAACTCACTTTGCTTTTCACTACTAGGCTTATTACATTGTTTAATGTCAAATTCTCTTTAGCATTTCTTTTTCTTAAAATGAATCACTATCACACTTGTTTTCCCTTTACAGTTCCATCATGGAGGGACCACACAATAGAACCTCTGAGAGACCTGAATCCTTCAGAGCTTGTGGAGGTAGGTCAGCAAATAAAGAAGCAAATAGGAAGACAGGCAGGTTGTTGTGGCAGGTTGTTAAGGTTCAGAACAGGAAGACAAGGAAATAGTTGTTGAAAGAGGAGGAAGGGTGTAGGGTAAATCCCATAAGCAGACATGGAGAACCTTTGTGTTCCTTTGCTCCTAAACCAGAAATTATCTCCATGTTTATCTACAACTTTAAGAATTTATCCCCATGTTTATGTACAACTGTAAGAATTTCATATAAGGAGTTTTGTGATGAAGCTCAAAATACTCTGTTTTGCCTGTGTTACTGGGACACATAACTCATGCTGCCACCAGGAAAATTGATTGGCGTTGCTTGATGAGCCTGCCAGTTATGCCTGGGCACTGATACAGGTAGCCATTTAATCTGAATAAGAGACTCTTCTCTGTTCATTTATCTGTGGCTAAAAAGCAGCATTTTCTTTTCTTGGTTCAGTGCTTTGTTCTCAAAGCCTGATCTTTTGCATATTTGTTTCCTGGGTTTCAGGAGGATTCCAGAGGGAAATAAAAAAAAAAAGAATATTGTAATCTGCTAGCTCACAAATGCCTTTTTCTGGGGAATGAAAAGAAACAATACTCAGCCAGTGATGGGAGAATCCATTCTAGTATCATAATTAATGACTTAGCAGTGTAGTTATTGACATTTAAAAATATATATTTTTCCTCTTAGACCTTAGATGACAGTGTCTTCTCCAAACGGCATGCAAAATTGGAACTGGATGAGAAGAGGAGGAAAAGGTGAAAAGGAATTGCAGCTGTTTGTGGGCCAGAGGCTTGGGCAACTAGTTTATTTTTTAGTAAATGCAGTATGAGATATGCAATTGGGTTGTATGTTTTACAAAAAGTGAAGGAGTATAGAATATAAAGTAAATCTAATAGAATATAAATCAAAAGTATTAACAGATGTTTTGGGAGGGGTAAATAAACAGGTGCTTTTGAATATAAGGACTCAGATTAACTGAACAAAATTGGGTGATATATTAATATAAAGAAGTGTTTTCCCTTATAGTTTGTAATTAACCTTTTGTATTCCTGGTCACAGGATGTTCTGTCAGTTTCCTAAAACAACTAGAATAGTGTAGCGTAGTGGCTACTAGTCACAACATGGAGGCACTTATATGAAGTTTTGAATATATTACAATTTTTCCCTTTTCTTCTTCCCAAAGGTGGGATATTCAGCGGATTCGGGAGCAAAGAATTTTGCAGCGACTACAGCTCAGAATGTACAAAAAGAAAGGAATTCAGGAATCTGAGCCTGAAGTTACCTCATTTTTCCCAGAGTCAGATGATGGTGAGTGACTTTTAAATACGATATTGCAGGTCTTCACTTTATCCATGCATAGCTTTAGACTAAAAAGGGACAGGAAAAACCTGTTCTAAAAATGGGCATTGCTCAATATTTATCACCTGTAAAGGTAATATTCCATTCATCTTTCTCATTTTAGTTGAAAGCCTGATGATCACCCCTTACTTGCCTGTTGTAGCATTTGGCCGACCATTACCAAAATTAAGCCCACAGTAAGTACACACATCTATATTGAGGGAGGATATGCTGTGCTGAAATGAGGGATGTTGAATTATGGGCCTTTCCTCTATACATTCAAATCTTGTTTCCTACTGTAGCTCCTTCTGAACTAGAGGTGACAATTGGGTTGATATGTTTTCTTTTTTAACCTTTCTTCTCTTAAATCTTTGTTTGTGTGCTTATTACCATTTCTTTATAAAGAGTGAGGAATTTGAAATGCTAAAACTCTTCCCCCACTTTGCTGTTACTAACCATTTTCCATGCAACATTTTTATTTGTCAGGAACTTTGAACTGCCATGGTTGGATGAACGAAGTCGCTGCCGGTTGGAGACACAAAAGAAACAGACACCTCACCGGACATGCAGGAAATAGGTGTGTCCAACTAGGAGAAACCTCTGCCTTGACAGGTTGCCCTTTGCTAGTCACAGCAAGTGGCAGAGAACTGTATATGTCATTTTATGTCAATCTTCCCTCTTGATGTACATTCTTGTTCACTATAAATATTTTTTTATGCTTGCATATGGTTTCTTTGAGACCTCAAAACTCTTCTTCTGTTGTCCATTTTTTTTCTTTTACTTGGGAGAAACTACTGTTTTTTTCTTCTTGTTGGGAAAAAGTTGCAAAATTTCAGTTGGCAACCTCAGATGAACTGTACTGAACAGTTGCAGTGAGCAAGTCTGTTGAGACTATGAGCGGTGGACAAGCATAAAAATATGACAGTATTGTTCCCATTTGTAAATTATCGCAAACATATGAAGGCTTCCTCTGTTTTCAAAAACTCATATTGTTATTGACATTATCGCGCTTGCTCCTTAAGGGCATTGGAAATGAAGTGGGGGTGGTATTACCCATCTGAGTACATTGGGCAAAGGGACATTTCTATTGGATCTGCTCCCAGCTGCTCTTCCAAAAAACATCCACATCATTGATCCATGCATTTCCTCCTGCCTCATTTGATCCTTCACATACTGCTGTGATGTGGCTTTTACTTTCATTTCTGGTTTTCTCAAACTTGGTTTATACCTTCTGCTTCAATTTCAAGGACAGTAGGTGATCAAGTCTTGACTTTGTAACATCCGTAGTGAAGGTCTGTAGGTCTGACAACTGTGCCACACTGTTAATTCTGTCAGGACACTTGACATAATCCTAAATTAACAATGCGGTGTCGGCCTGTCTCCAGATTTTCACTTGTTTGTTTTACCAGAACATGCTTATGGTCTTATTTTCCTCTGTCAAAATACAGTGGGGTCTAAATGGTTGGGTTTTAATGGCACAAAAAGTTGCACAGTTCTGGATCCTTAATGGAAATTCTAAGCATTAGCACTACTAAATTTACTGGCATTTGAGATCTGGTCAGTTTAGGCAGATACCGACCCCTTGGCATTACCAATAGACAAATGACATTTCAAAAACTGGACTTCCCTATTACAGCCAAAGGCTGTAACAGGCTCTTGCCTGGAAGCACTTAGCAAACAGCCATGTGGTTCTTTTCCCAGCCTAGGCAAAGTAATTTGTTTCTAGAAAGAATGGGGAGCAGTGAGAGAGTGGAAAGGTAAAAAGATAGTATCCTTTCACCCAGAAGCTAAATGATTCCTCCAATCAAATCTTCCTGAGAAGGAGTCTCTCCCTGTGTGAAGTCGATTGCAACAGTATATATACCTTTTAGAAAGGTTCAAATCTTCTTGCAAGAGGTGAAATTGTCCCTACATTCGGCACAGTCTGCAAGTCCTGTGGGTGGGAACCAACTTTCTGTTGTCTCACTTTTTCTTAAAATTATATTAAACAACACCAACAGTTGAAACTTTCTTTCTTAAACATAGTTGGCACTTCTTAAGTAGATCCCAGACTTGAAATCTTTACAGTAGCTGGTGATTAAAACAAACAATGCTTCTGAGAACAAGGAATTCCTGAGAAGAGAGTATATGCTTATTTGCCTGCTTCATACAATAGCAGGTGGCCGCTATTGTCTATGTGTGCACACACAAGTGTATTTTTATGAACACTGAAGCTAAAATCTTGCAGTGCATGACACTGTTGTATAAATAGAAGAATGTTTCTTGTGTCACTTTTCTGGTTTGTTACAAGATCCAGTGCAGGATGATATTCATTCTCTTTAAATGCCAATAACATCACATAGGGAGGATGCTCATCCACCAGATTGGTTCTTTCCCAACTTTCCAACCTCCAAATACTTCCAGTAGCTGCAGTTATTTCTGGGTTATAAGTCCTGAAAAATCAAAAGGATGCTCCTTTTCTTCAAAAGGTAGCACACTCAATGTCCATGTAGTTAAGTCACGAATTCAACAGACACTTTGAAATGAGAAGAAAACACATCTTCTCTTTTGCCAAGTAGCCTGTGTATTTGAGATAGTGCACAATGCTTGCCTAGCTTTATTTTAACTAAGGCTGTGTTTGGATCTTTTGCTTTTTTAGCATGCCAGCATGCATCCTTACATGTTTTTTAAAAATTATTTTTGCCCTACTGTTAAAAGCATGGTCATATATAACCAGCAAGCTTTGATGAGAGTCTTACTGGTGGAGGCATTGTTGATTTTAGAGTGTTATCCTGCTAGCATTTGAGCCTACTTCCAACTCTAAAGTAAGCACAAAGAGTTTGCAAGATATTTCTTGAGTTGATGTGGTTAGAAAGGAGGAGGAAGATGTTTCTGCTTGGCCCCAAATTTGGCTTTTATCAGAGATGCCATATATGTTGTCCTGAAATATAGCAGCAAAATCTTCTCATCCCTACTGCCACTTGCCCCATTGAGACCATGCTGACTTAAAATAAGTTTGTTTAATATTAACACATGGAACTTGTATCTAAGAAGGGGATGGATACGTGTGTGGAAATAGATAGCGGTTATATAAAGGTTTTGCATTGGATATTAGCTAGGAGCAAGATGGAAGGAATGGTCTTTCTCCCCATAAGGGAATACAGCACTGTGAAATTTATATTAACTAAAAGCCCTTGGAAATCAGATCTGATCTTCGGTTTAAAACAAAAACATTGCTTTATTTAACCAAGTTAACAGTAGTTCTAAAATTGTAATTTTGTCCCATGCTTTGTTTTTCTGCCCTTTGACATGTGGTTGTCTGCAGATGCATCCTTTTTTATACCATTTTAAATATGTAAAATCTGTTGTCTTGTAAATATCTTATAAAGGACAAAGAAGTTTGTAAATAAGCAAATTTGTGGCTGTTAATGTTTTTTATTTTTTTTGCTTTGGTTCATTTAGGTTTAACAGTGTTAACAGGGAGTATTAAAACAGATGTTCTGCTTGTATGTTTAAACAAAATTGAAACAAATCAATTTTTTTTACAATAAAAAAGAATATTAATGTTTTTCTTATGTGTTGTGCCTCGTTTGACAGATGGTACAATTTTGACCAGCAGAATCTACTTCTGCTATTGGACAGAAAAGGTTACTGTAGTGGCTTTAAACTTAGTTAAATGTATAAATCAAGAGGAGTCTGAATAGTTGGACCAGAAGTCCTTGAAAGGTAGAAAGTAACAGTAGACCTGTATTTTTTTTAAATGTAGTATCAAAATATATACAGTAGAGTGACTCATTCCCAGCAGCAGCTCTGGAAACAGTATTGTATGTCATGCTTTGCCTAAAAAAGGAAAATTTACTTTCTGCAGTAGAAATGATACAGCCAATCATAAGAACATTTAAATGGAACAGGTTGAACTTGCAAATGAGAATGCCATCATTGCGGTTTTGCACAAAGGCCCTGTGTCTTTGAGACATGGTGGTTTTTGAGTCTAGAAAAGGCAGCCAGGACCATTTAAATTTGTGGGGTTTTTTGGGGGGGGGGCAGGAAGCAGTATCTGTCCTCCCTTTCAACATTATTATAGCTAAGTTGGTTTAACAAAGCATACATACTGATATTATCAAAAGCAAAACAATAAAAGGAAAATTACAAGACTGGAAAAACAAAAAAGCGAAAGTGCATGAATTGGTTTTAGGCATACTTTTTAAAGAGTGTTCTAAAATTGCGAGACTGCATGTGACAAGGACAAATTCCATGTTGCAGATGTTTAGAAAAAAATAGTGCTGAACCTTGTCATAAACATCTATAGTGTAACATCATATAGAATACAGTATAAAATTCTGCTTGTTTCATCTTAAACCCACAACACATCTAGAGCAGTAAAAGGCAAAATGTGGTAGCTGAATGTGTTGATCTTAGAGAAAGTCTATGGGGGTTTTCAGCATAGAAAAAAGGAAAGGGGCATGACAGACACCATAAAATGATTCATGTTGTGAAAAAAAGTGGACAGGAATAACGATGTTAGATATGCAGCTCTTCAGTGAAGCTGCCCAGTGGCGCAGTGGGTTAAAGCCCTGTGCCAACAGGACTGAAGACCAACAGGTCGCAGGTTTGAATCCGGGGAGAGGCGGATGAGCTCCCTCTATCAGCTCCAGCTCCTCATGCGGGGACATGAGAGAAGCCTCCCACAAGCATGACAAAACATCAAATCATCTGGGCGTCACCTGGGTAACGTCCTTGCAGACGGCCAGTTCTCTCACTACAGGAGCGGTCGCTCCTGACACGACCAAAAAAAAAAAGTGAAACTGTATTGATTCAAAACAGACAAAAGTACCCGATTCCTACTACTATGGCGTTAAAAGCACTGCCCTTATTCTACAGGGGTTTATGAATAGTACCTAAAGATGTTGGGTGTATCTACACCAGGGGTCCTCAAACTAAGGCCCCGGGGGGGGGGGGGGATACGGCCCTCCAAGGTCATTTACCCGGCCCTCGCTCAGGGTCAACCTAAGTCTGGAACGACTTGAAAGCACACAACAACAACTACAATCCCATCCCATCCCATCAACCAAAAGCAGGCCCATACTTCCCATTGAAATACTAATAAGTTTATATTTGTTAAAGTTGTTCTTAATTTTAATTATTGTATTGTTTTTAAGTGTTTTTTGCACTACAAATAAGATATGTGCAGTGTGCATAGGAATTCATTCATGTTTTTTTCAAATTATAATCTGGCCCTCAAGCAGTTTGAGAGACTGTGACCTGGCCCTCTGTTTAAAAAGTGTGAGGACCCCTGATCTGCACTCTAGTATTATTGCAGTTTGACACCACTTTGACTGCCATGCTGAATGCTATGGAATCATTGGAGATGTGACTATGCAAGGACTTAAGCCTTCTCTGCCCAATAGTGCTGTTGATTTTCCAATCTACAGCTCCCAGGATTCTGTAGCAAACTATATTAATTCTGCAGTGTACATGCACCTGTTGATGGGCCTCCCATGTCCTTTGGTAGCATGCATTTGCTGGGAAAAGAAACACTGTCCTTGTGTCCTGACTCTGGACTTTTTATTAGCATCTGTTTAGATAGTGGGTAAACATGATACTGGACTGGGCTAGTCTTTGATGTGATCCAGCCAAGCTCCTTTTTATGTTCTAACTTTTATGATTAGACTTGGTTCATGTTAACCCAGTTGATAGACTATTTCAAAATTATATTGTTTTTGCATATCATTTTCAGTGCCAGGTTTCTCTTCGTTTTTTTCTTTTCTACAAGTGGCAACCGGTTTTTCCTAGGTAATGAGATTGGGTAGATAATAGGAAGGCGAATGGTTGTTATGGTTAATGTTAGTTGAGCCTTATAACCTAAGTCACTTTAAATAAACAAAAATATTGTTCCAGCATGCAGTATAACTGGGTTTGTATTTTCCACCAGCTTCCTGGATCTAGCATGCCACTGTAGGCTCACCCGCTTTTGCATTACAGGTTGGCCATCCCTTATCTGAAATTCTTGGGAAAAGTGTTTTGGGTTTTGGAACACCATTACTTGCATAATGAGATATCTTGGAGATGGGCCACAAAATTTATGTGTGCTATGGCAGGCATGGGGCAACTTCGGCCCTCCGGGTGTTTTGGACTTCAACTCCCACAATTCCTAACAGCCGGTAGGCTGTTAGGAATTGTGGGAGTTGAAGTCCAAAACACCCGGAGGGCCGAAGTTGCCCCATGGCCTGCCTTAATATGCATAGCTTGAAGGTACATTTATCCAATATTTTTAATAATATTGTGCATGAAACAAAGTTTGGGTACCTTTTGCCACCAGAAAGCAAAGGTGTCAGTGGGTGCATCTACCCCAGGCATGGGCAAACTTTGGATGTTAGGAATTGTGGGAGTTGAAGTCCAAAACACCTGGAGGGCCGAGGTTGGCCCATGCCTGCCTTAAATGCATATCTTGAAGATTAATGTATTCAATTGTGCATGAAACAAAGTTTGGGTACATTTTGCCACCAGAAAGCAAAGGTGTCCGTGGATGCATCTACACCAGGCATGGGCAAATTTTGGCCGGCTGTTAGGAATTGTGGGAGCTGAAGTCCAAAATACATGGAGGGCCGAAGTTAGCCTATGCCTGCCTTAAATGCATAGCTTGAAGGTTAATGTATTCAATTGTGCATGAAACAAAGTTTGGGTACATTTTGCCACTAGAAAGCAAAGGTGTCAGTGGGTGCATCTACCCCAGGCATGGGCAAACTTTGTCTGGATGTTAGGAATTGTGGGAGTTGAAGTCCAAAGCGCCTAGAGGGCCGAAGGTGGCCCATGCCTGCCTTAAATGCATAGCTTGAAGGTTAATGTATTCAATTGTGCATGAAACAAAGTGTGGGTACATTTTGCCACCAGAAAGCAAAGGTGTCAGTGGGTGCATCTAGCCCAGGCATGGGCAAACTTTGTCTGGATGTTAGGAATTGTGGGAGTTGAAGTCCATAACACTTGGAGGGCCGAAGTTTGCCTAAGCCTGATCTACACAGTGAAATCAATGCAGTTTGACACCCATTAATGACTATGGCTCAGCGTCAAAGAGTGCTGGCAACCTCATCAAACTACAAATCCCACAATTCCACAGCACTGAGCCCTGGGAATTAAAGCGGTCTGAGTCTGCATTGATTCTACAGTGTCCATGAGGCCTTGCTTGAATTTTTTTTGGCTTTCGGAATTCTGGATGAGGACTGTGTCCAACCTGTTTTTCTCCATGCGGCCGGTTTACCCTTTTTATTCCCTCCGAAGCCTGTGCAACGCCCTGCCTCAACGCTTTCAGTCCTGCAGGATAAACAAGAATGACATCACCGTCGCAGTGGGAAAGCGTCGAGGCAGTTTTCCCGCGGGAGGAGGGGGAGGTGGCAATCTTCGAGGAGCACGTGACCCTGTTGCCGAGGCGTCCTTCGGCCCGCCCACTGAAGAGCAGTTTGCCGTGACGTCATTGCTCGACAGCGCCTCCATTGGCCGCTGTCTTCCTTTCCTCCCCTTTTGTCTTTAATCCTATTTTTTGTTCTTCGCAAAGGATTCTGGGGGGAAGGGGAGGCCTTGAAACGTGCCTCGCGCGCGCGCGCTGCGTGTCGGAAGTTGGGAGCTGGTGGGCGCGCGCCTTACTCGTTACCCGTCATCCCTTTGGGCTCCGCCCCCTCCTCTTCCTCTTCCCTAACCGTTTCGCTTCTTGTTTCTTCTCGTCAAGATGGCGGACCGGAGGAGGCAGCGCGCTTCCCAGGACAGCAGTGAGGAGGACGAGTCGGACTCGCCGCCTGGGAGCGCGGCCCCTTCGCCGAGGGGCGCCCTCCGCCTCGGACTCGCCGGCTCCGCGGCCAACGCTAGCAATGCAGGCGGTGGAGGCACCGCGGTTGTTGTTACTGCCGTCGCCGCCACTGCTGTTCCTGCCTCTGCCGGTCCTGAAAACGTGGAGGCGGCTCTGACGGCGGGAGGAAGCCCGGCCGACTCGGAGTGTGTGAGTACCTGAACGGAGGAGAGGGAAGGCTCCGTGAGGGACTGGGCCTTGCACTAGGCCGCAGTTTGAAGCGCTCTGATTTTTCAAGCCTCCTCAGGCCTTGGGCTCTTCCACACAGCCAGATAACCCAGAATAATTATAATTATGATAATTTTGCTTCTTACCCACCTCTCCTCATGGCTCAAGGCGGGTTGCAAAACAATTAAAACACATAAGCACAGCAAAACACTACAAATACTCATACCACCATGAAAGTTACATACCAAAACATATCGCTATGAAATATTATTTATTATGTATTAATTGCATTTCTATATTGCTTTTCTCACCCCTGGGGGGACTCAAAGCGGTTTACAACATAATAAATGGCAAATTCAATGCCTCACATACATATAAAAATATCACATATCTAAATCAATAACATATAACTGTAGGTAAAAACCATTAAAACTATAAATACATCAGACATAGATATAAGCAAGAAACATTATTGCTGCATTTAATATAGACCCCTTCTCTTCCCCACACTGCCCAACTCTCTCAAAGCATTTCAGCCCATTTTTATACCCTCCCTGCTCCCTCCCCAAAGAGACACAAAGTTAACTAGGTACAGATTGAATACAAAATGGGGAAGGTAATGGAAACAGACAGAACAAATTAAACAAAGGGCATGCATTAAAATTCAGGTTTATGTTTAAAGACTAGGTAACAATAATAATAATTTCATTTCATTTATTCAACTTTTATACCGCTACTCCCAATTTGGCTTGGAGCGGTTTACAGAAACAGATTTTAAAAATACAATTAGCTTTAAAATGACCATAACAATAACAACAGGCAGCAAGAACAGGCATAGCCCGGATTGTTCACCCATCAAAAGCTTGTCGGAAAAGAAAAGTTTTACAGGCTTTCCGATAAGCAAGTAGGTCTCGGATGGTTTGAATTTCAACCGGCAAGGCATTCCATAAATAAGGGGCCACGATCGAGAAGGCTCTATGCCTTGTTGTTGTTGGTCATTCGTTCAGTCGTCTCCGACTCTTCGTGACCTCATGGACCAGCCCACGCCAGATCTCCCTGTTGGCCATCTCCACCCCCAGCTCCTTCAAGGTCAGTCCAGTCACTTCAAGGATGCCATCCATCCATCTTGCCGGCCGCTCTTCCTTTTACCTTCCACTTTCCCCAGCATAATTGTCTTCTCTAGGCTTTGCTGTCCTCTCATGATGTGGCCAAAGTACTTCAACTTTGTCTCTAGTATCCTTCCCTCCAGTGAGCAGCCAGGCTTTTTTTCTTGGAGGATGGACTGGTTGGATCTTCACGCAGTCCAAGGCACTCTCAGAACTTTCCTCCAACACCACAGTTCAAAAACATCGATCTTCCTTCGCTCGGCCTTCCCTAAGGTCCAGCTCTCACATCCGTAGGTTATTACAGGGAATACCATGGCTTTGACTAGGCGGATCTTTGTTGCCAATGTGATGTCTCTACTCTTTACTATTTTATCAAGATTGGTCATTGCTCTCCTCCCAAGAAGTAAGTGTCTTCTGATTTCCTGGCCACAGTCTGCATCTGCAGTAATCTTTGCACCTAGAAATACAAAGTCTGTCACGGCCTCCACATTTTCTCCCTCTATTTTCCAGTTGTCAATCATTCTTGTTGGCATAATCTTGGTTTTTTTTTTTATGTTTAGCTGCAACCCAGCTTTTGCGCTTTCTTCTTTCACCTTGATTAGAAGGCTCCTCAGCTCCTCCTCGCTTTCTGTTTAAAGACTAGGTAACAATAATAATAATTTCATTTCATTTATTCAACTTGTATACCGCTACTCCCAATTTGGCTCGGAGCAGTTTACAGAAACAGATTAAAACAATACAATTAGCTTTAAAATGACCATAACAATAACAATAGGCAGCGGGAACAGGCATAGCCCGGATTGTTCACCCATCAAAAGCTTGTTGGAAAAGAAAAGTTTTACAGGCTTTCCGAAAAGCAAGTAGGTCTCAGATGGTTCGAGTTTCAACCGGCAAAGCATTCCATAAATAAGGGGCCACGATCGAGCAGGCTTTATGCCTAGTAGATGACAAATGATAGGTCTGGATTCAGTTTCAATTTGTTAAAGCAGATAATCCACAACATCTGCTTTGATCTGGGTTATATGAATACATACGGCTATATAATCCAGTTCAATGTGGTTTTTATACAGCTGTGTGGAAGGGGCCTTGGCCTTTCTGAGAGTTTGGGAGAGAGTGCCCCTGAGCATATGCAGATGCCCTCAGTAGCTCTTTGGGGGGGTGAACCTGAGCCTCCTTCCTGTTTGTACACTGGGCCTCTTTTTCCTGGCAATTAAATGTCGCACAGGCTTGATGTAGAAGTGACCCATTCCACAACCAGTTGGTTGGATCTCCGAGTTATGAACAAAATAGGTTTTGTGGGTTTGTTTTTAAGCTGAATTTATATGTAAGTTGGAACAGGTACATTTTTAAAGTGTAACTCCAGCCATACATGTGTACACGTATAAGCTTGGGATATATATATATACACACACATAAAAGCTTTGGATATATATGCAGGATATATATGCACTCCTATTTTGTATGTTATGTTATATAATAAAATTATATTATTCCTTATTTAATATCACTTATATTAATAATCCCCCCGGAGCCCCCGATGGTGCAGTGGGTTAAAGCGCTGAGCTGCTGGACTTGCTGACCAAAAGGTCAGCGGTTCAAATCTGGGGAGTGGTGTGAGCTCCCTCTGTTAGCCCCAGCTTCTGCCAACCTAGCAGTTCGAAAAAATGCTAATGTGAGTAGATCAATCGATACCTCTCTGGCAGGAAGGTAACGGCGCTCCATGCAGTCATGCTGGCCACATAACCTTGGAGTGTCTACGAGCAACGCCAGCTCTTAGAAATGGAGATGAGCACCAACCTCCAGAGTCGGACACAAGTGGACTTAATGTCAGGGGAAAACCTATTTACTATATTAATAATATAATAATTATTAATTTTATTATATACAGTATTGCTGTATATTTGCGATGTGATTTTATATGCTTTTATGGTTTTAACTTGGATTGTTTTAATATTAATGTTTAATACTCTTTTTATATTTGTATTTTTGAAGTTGTACTAAAATGCTTTTCGTTGTGAGCCGCTTTGAGTCTCCGTATAGAGAGAGAAAGCAGGATATAAATAAACACGATAATAATAATAATAATAATAAAGCAGCTTGACATAAAAGCATTGGTATCCAATTTAAAATATATCCATCTACAAATATTAAAACAGAATTAAACACAAACAGCATTTAAAAATTCAATTAAAATCCAGCCAAACATATTCAAAGTTAAAAACTATAGCATCCCCTGACTTGATTTTAAACACCTACATCTTTAAATGCCTGTTTGATTAGAAAGGTTTTAGCCTGCTGCTGGAAGGACAGCAGGAAGGGGGGCCATTCTGGCTCCCCTGCGCAGGGAGTTCCAGAGTCATGGAGCAGCCACAGAAAAGGCCCCCTTTCTCATTCTTACCCATAGGCAGATGACATAGCACTCTGCCACCAAAAACATGCAGCCCTCCAACAACAGCTGCACACATAGGGTGATAAACTCAGTGAAAATGTACTTCAACTGAACATACTCAAAACAGAATATCTGGAAGGTAGCCTTCAAACTAGAAAAATTATTCAAACTAATGGATAAGCACTAAAAAGGGCCATCCAATTTAAATACCTACCTAGGGTCACTATGTCCAAAGTACAAAGCTTCAGTGATAGAGTGATTAAGCTTCAGTGGAGACACCTTTTCCCTATAATAACTCATCCAGGAGTAAATTTCTCTTCCTAGGGGTTGATTTTTCTTGCTTCCTGTTTTCTCATTCCTGTTCTTAACTATGAGTTGTTTGTAACTCGGATGTTTGTAACTTGGGGACTGCCTGTACAGTAGAGACTCAGTTAACTGGAAGTTAAACAGCCAGAAAAAAAATGAAGAGATAATGCATACTGCATTCACAGAGCTGTTTTTATAACAGTAAAACTGTGTTTCATTAAATTAAACCTGTCTTAATTTGCTTTTAATTACTGTATTTCAGGAATAATATCAAGTCAATGCAGAGTTTATGCTATGGTATAATATGGAGTATAATATGAGTCTGTTTTTCATAGTAACTTTCAAGCAACCAGACGTTTCATTTATCTGGCATCTACTAATTCCCATGGGTGGTGTTAACAGAGCATCTACTAGAATTCCAGAAACAATATTAAATATTATCTGTTAGGTTGGGGCTTAGTATGTATACAGTATGCGTTTTTTCTGCAATGTTCTAAACAAGTCCCTAGTGCCTGATTTATACTTTTAGTTTAAAATCCTCAATGTGGGATAGAAATTAGTTAATTGCAATTACTGAGTTTTATTTAGTAGCCCAAGGTGCTTTACAAGTCACCATATTCTTCCAAAATTTAATTTAATTCAAAATATAATGATTTCAAAGCTGTCCACCCTTCTTAAGGAAAGCCAATTTCTTAAGAATAGGTAGAGGGGCAGAAACAAGATGTAAAAACATTGTTGAAAAGGATGGCATCATGATACAAAACAAAATGATGACTGATGGTTTGAAGCTTATAGCTTAATGGGAAGTATATATGCTGCTATAATTACCGTATATTCCGGCATATAAGACGACTGGGCGTATAAGACAACCCCCAACTTTTCCAGTTAAAATATAGAGTTAAGATGACTCCCATGCATAAGACTACACCCGCATATAAGACGACCCCTGACTTTTGAGAAGATTTTCTTGGGTTAAAAAGTAGTCTTATACGCCAGAATATATTGTAATAGCCTTCTTTAGCTCTGTTTTTCCACAAAGTTGTTATTTACCATCTGTCTTCTGTAATTAGGTTAGCCTTGGGTTTGGTTTGGTTTTTAAAGACTGCTTGCTGCTGCAGGCAGTCCTCATCTTGGAGAGGAGAAAAAGCACTCCTCCTTTCACAAATATGCTGCTTCATCTTTCAGTGGTTACAGGAAGCAGGGGAATAGATGCTCTGCAAACAAAATCCCAGTCTGCTGTGTCAGTTGACAGCCCTAGATTCTTCCTCATGAGAAGATTTGTAATTGGGCAGTTTCTTTCCTATTGCTTAAAATGGAGCTGCCTGCTGCTTCCATGTTTTTCTAGAATCCTCTAATGTAGAAATCACTTTCCTATAGCTGGACCCGACCAAGCAGTGACTCATCATGGATTTGTTTTAAAAAGCACACATACAAAAAAACTCAGAGCTTGTCCCAGGAGATATCATAGAAAACTAATTTCCCTATACTATAGGAAAGCTCAAGGCTGTAGAAAAACTGAAGGGAAAGATAGAGTTGGAGCAAATGTATGAGATTTTTCTGAAGGCACAGAGAAGTATAATGCATTCTGGGTTTTTTTTTTGTATACTTCCCTTGTTTACACATATTCTTTCAGGATAGTGTCTTGTCAAAATATGCATGTCAGAGGATTTTAAATTTAGATGAAAGGAAGGGGAATCTTAGCTTTGGTTTCTTCTATCACAGGGATTTCTTAAATATTTTTACAGTATGCATCATCATTGTTGTCTGTTGTCTTAGGGAGAATTAGAAGCTATTTCTTAATCTCTGCTGACATTTCTCTGTAATACTTTTCTCTCTTAAAACAGGAAAGTGAAGATGGCATAGAAGGAGATGGTGAGTGGTCATTTCTTAATTTGACTAACCGTGACATAGAGATATAGATTGGGTTGGTAGATATTCTTAAAATTAATAACTAGATCTCTTCAGTAGGGACTTAGCGCTGCTTTCAAGATATGATTTTACACTGCCTCTGTAGTACCGTGGTTTTTTAGTAAAGCCAGATTTGTTGCAAAGGATAAGCCTGGAAGCGAGTACAGGTAATTTGTTTACTCAGTGAATATGATTTCTACCACAATTCTGTTTGTTTTCTATATTTAAAAATGTCATAATATTTCTGGCACATGTCTATTTGTTAATAGATTTATATCCAGTTTTATAACCAAAGTTATCAGACAGACTATAATGCATAATGCATCAGTAAAATGTTTTGGGCTTTGTCGTACTTAGCAATTAGTTGCAGGGACCACTGACTGGGTGAGATGTTTCCCCAAGATATTGAAGGTTGTAGCTAAGCTTGACTTTTAAATGACAACTCGGGGAATTTCACATAACTCCTTCACATTAAAAATGCATGATACATCAGCACGATTGATCTTCCAACTCCATAGACCAATGGTCAGACATTTGGTATTAATGTGAAGAGTCTGTACATATGCACATACTTCCTTAATATATGAGTGTGAAGGCTTTTTCTCATGGTTTTCACCTAAAATATGACATTTAAGGAAGGATTTAAAAATAGGGAGAGACACTGCATTATTGAAGTGATCTAAAGTTAGTTGTAGGCATTAAGGATAGCAGTGAGGGACAAGTTAGTTGTTTAAGTGAATTGGAAACCAGCTGATGACAAGGAATGATAGATTACACAAATGATAAATAGTGAGATGGTGGCAAACAATAAAGGAAAGGAAAGCCATGGAAGATGTTCAAAGTGAGTGCAATCTGTTTAGCCTGAGCTTGGGATCAAGTTGGAAGGAGATTCAGAACAGGTACCTGATGACAGGAATGAATAATTTTAATGTGGATGTTTGGGCTAGGGGTAAAAGGCTGAGGTGCGATATCGGAAAGTAGGAAGAGAAAAACATTCAGTGGTTTTGAGAAGCTTGAATATGAATTCGATCTTTTTTGCCAAGAGGTTAGAAGGGGTACTGCCATCACTTTTACAGTGTTTTACAGAATGAAGTGATTTGTTGTTTCTTTTATTTATATCCCACCTTTTTTCTTGCATGGGACCCAAGGTGAATACAACTTGGATACAAAGCAGGGGAAGAATCAAAGATAAAGCCAGGCTATGTACCCAATCATAGAGTGGGTAGTGTGGCTGCCAGAAAATACTGAAAATATATGAGTAGTGGGATTAGGAGAAAGATGAGAAATGTATTGGGTGTGCTGGATTTTTCAGTTGTATCTAATCTCAAACATTTTTCCTTTTTTAAAGCTGTTCTCTCTGACTATGAAAGTGCTGAAGACTCAGAGGTGAGTAGACAGCATACTAGTATTCCTGCTGTAATTTAATTTTGTGCATAAACTTGACAGTACATTGCATTTTTTAAAAAAATCCTTCAAGGATCTGTTGAAATCTGCTAGGATGAGTGCATAGGCTGAGAAGTTGCTATTGGATGAATCAGGACATGGAATCTCTAGCTTCTTGGAAAGCAGCATCCTGTGCTTAAAAATTTAAGTACTGTGATGAGACACCTATGACCCTCCAGATAATACATTTCAGCTCTCACCATTTCTGACAACTGACTGTGATGAATCTGAGCAACATCTGTAGGGGCACAGGTCCATTGCAAGCTTTAGTAGGGATTTGACTGCTTTCCAGATATTTGAAATTTATCATGCAGGTTGAAGGGCTAGCAATATGTGCCTTGATGTATATTTAGTTTACAATTTGGGGGGAAAAATTGAGTTTTGCACAATATATGATGATGGTGATGATGACGATGATTTTGGTGGGAGAAATCGGGAATCCACCAATTGCTTCACTTTGCACTTTGATCTGTTACTGTAGACAGCCAGCTTTATTTTCAGGTTCTACTGTGTTTTAGGAATTTTACAATTTTATCAGATGGGGTTTTATGTGTGTTCATTGTTTTAAAATTTATTTTGCTGTTTCTATGCTTATGTACTATTTGTTTATATGCGAGTCCCTTCATGAAGATGGTAGCAGGGTATATAATAATTTTATAAATGTTTCCAACACTAAGTGACTCAGTTTTAATGTTTGTTTCAGGCTGAAGAGGGAGAATATAGTGAGGAAGAAACATCCAAAGTAGAGTTGAAGCGGGAAAATAATGTCACTGATTTGACAACAAAATCAGGCAAAGGAGATGAAAAACCAGAATCAAAAGGCACTGTGGCAGGGGAGAGGCAAAGCGGGGATGGGCAGGTGAGTCTTGCAAAATGTTGAATATATATCCTAGTCAATCTAGAAACAAAAATATGACCTGTTTCATTTTATTTTTAAATAGCTACCTTATATCGTTGTAACACCATAACATTTAAAAACAATGTCCTATCACACTTTAACCAAAGCTGTCCTTCTTATGCATATTCTATCACTGAAGCATACTGTCACATTTTATATATTCCATAGCAGTTGACATAACCCTTTGCCTCCACCAGTGATCTACCAGACCTTTTAAAGGCCCTTCTTACTTTTTAAAGAAACTTGGTATGCTATGTGTCAACTTGTGCATAGGAGAAAACTTTGCCATTATACCTCCGGTTCTGGTTTTATACCCAGGAGGGCTTCTTAAATGCAGAAACTAAACTGAAAGGTCTCTGTTTCGCATTAAATGATCCAATGGAGCATAATAATGTGGCAGAACTGCTCCAGGAATTTATTAGAAACATTTTAACTAATTAAAATCTTTAAACTGCAAACCCTAAATGGTTCAGGCCCAACCTATCTATCGGACCACATCTCCTGATATGAGCCTTCCCGAACTTTACGACCTGCCGGAGAGGCCCTACTATTGGCCCCACCCCTGTCTCAGGTGTGGCTGGTGGGAATGAGAGAGAGGGCCTTCTCAGCTGTTGCTCCTCGGCTGGGGAGCACCCTCCTTAAAGACATCAGATGGCTCCCTCCCTGCTATCCATCAGAAGGCAAGTAAAAACCTTTATCTGGAAGGAAGCTTTTGGGGAAGACAATGGGTAACCTGTTAAACAGCTATTGGATTCGGCTATGGCAATGAGATGGAATTGGCTTTTAATGTAATTGGTTTTAATATCATCTAATACTGTTTATCATGTTTATTCTGTATTGTTGTTTTAACTTTTGTGTTCTCTGATTTTTATGCATTTCGTTTTAGTATTGTATTATGTTTGAACCGCATCAAATTGTTGCCAAGTGTTAGGCACTCTGAGTCCCTCAGTGAGTGAGAGATGGTGGGATATAGAACAAAGTAAATAAATACATAAAATTGTTTTTGTATATAGGGTTTGCAGCCCTCTGAAGTCCTATGAGCTGTATGTCTGCCCCCACTCCCCGATCTTTGTAGTTATGTATTCCTGTTGTCTGTTTCTGTTTTGAAAATTGGATGTTTTTAAATACACATGTGTTAATTTTGCTTGTTTGATTCATCTCCGCTTTATAGGAGAGTACTGAACCAGCTGAGAACAAAGCTGGCAAAAAACATCCTAAGCACTTGGATGATGATGAAGATCGAAAGAACCCTGCCTACATCCCTCGCAAAGGTCTTTTCTTTGAACATGACCTTCGTGGGCAAACCCAGGAAGAGGAAGTCCGGTAAGTGACATTAGCAGCACAGAGGGATGGAGTGTTTCCTGGATAGGAAGCTCATACATGGGGCATAATTGATTGGGGATGTAATGCTATCCTACATCTATGTGTCATACTGGTGTGTAGAATCTGCAGAGGAGAACCCTCTTCTCCTTCTTCTGCAATACTTGATGCCATCTGAAAAGTGGCTCTGAGGGTTTTCCCAAGTCTTCCAAGAGAATTCATGAGAGGCTGCAGTGGGGCTTTAAAAAATGAAGGAGCTGTTTACTTGCAGGAACAGAATTCTCAGTTCAGAACACTATATTTTGGCTTATCAGGCTTGTATGAAGCAGGAAGTGATATGGTCAAGTAAATAAAATTGAAAAAATATGTAGGAGCAGTCTTTAATTTTTTAACGACCAGAGGAACTTTTGGATGATTCTGAGCTGTGAGAAAACACAGATTATTTACCTGTCTCTTCTGGGGAAAGGTCGTCTGGCTTGTGCTGTTCCCATATGAATAAGCCATTTTTTAAAATGAACTTTGGCCGAACATTTGACTTGATTTGACTTTTTCTCTGCTATGTAATTACCGTATATCCCGGCATATAAGACGACTGGGCGTATAAGACGACCCCCAACCTTTCCAGTTAAAATATAGAGTTAAGACAACTCCCATGCATAAGACTACACCCGCATATAAGATGACCCCTGACTTTTGAGAAGATTTTCTAGGGTTAAAAAGTAGTCTTATACGCCAGAATATACTGTAGTTTCGTATGTTATTTTAGTTTTGGTTCCTGTTTTTATGATTGAATCGTATCTTTGATTCTGTAGCTTCAAGTCCTTCAGGGGTTCCTGTGTTGCTTTAAAGGTCAACCAGAAATTGCCTGTAATATAGTATTACTGCTTCTTTCCCTTTCTCGTAAGGCCTAAGGGGCGCCAGCGTAAACTCTGGAAGGATGAGGGCCGCTGGGAGCATGACAAGTTCCGGGAAGATGAACAAGCACCAAAAACAAGGCAGGAGTTGATTGCTCTATATGGCTATGATATCCGCTCATCACACAACGCTGATGACATTAAGCCTAGAAGAGTACGCAAACCAAGGTAGGTTAATAGGGAAATGGACAACATATGTGCACATGTTATGGAATTATATTGTAGGGTCTTGAAGGTCTAGATTTTTGTTTTATAATTTACTGCCTTTGTATGTTGCCTTTCTCCCAGAGTAGGACCCAAAGTGATTTTCAAAGCAATTAAAATCTATAATTAAAATGTGTCCCTTACTAGAATTGGACCTAAAAATAGTAGTGCACACTTTGGTTGAGCTGGTAACCTCAAGGTTGGACTTGTGCACTGTTCTTTACATTGGGCTACCTCTGTACCTAACTGGAAACTTCAGTTCGTTCAAAACATGGCAGCCAGACTAGTTCCAGGAATATCTAGACGTGAGCATATCACACCTATACTATAGTTACTCTCATAGTTGCCGATTAGATTCTGGACAAAGTACAAAATATTGGTTCTGACCTTTAAAGCCCTACAGGGTTTAGGTCCAGGTCACCTATAGGATTACCTTCTCCTGTACAATCCGCCCTGAACATTGAGGTCTTCTGAGGGATGCTACCTCTAACTAGCCAGAACTCAACTGGCAACTGTCATCTAGAGGACCTTTTCGTTGGCCGCCCCAAGGCTGTAGAATGATCTGCCAAAAGTCATCTGACAGCTAAATGAGTTGTCCGAGTTTATAACACAACTGAAGAACTATCTCTTCTGACAGGCCTACCAGCTCAGTTTTTAACTATGGATTTTAGACACATTCTATATTGACTCTGTTCTATTTTTTGTTCCATGTATTTTGATAGAATATGTCCTTATATGTGCCTTTTATGTAATGCATTTAGTATAATGATGTATTTAGTATAATGATGTATGTTGTGCCCTGCCTTAGACTAGAAGGAGAGGTGTGTAATAAAATAATAAAATAGTTTTTTTATTATTTAAAACAATTAAAAGCAAGTGAAACGTTTAAAACTGACACAGAATTAAATTTCTGTCTTATTCAGATGGGGAGTAGTGCTATATTTACTCTAATGCTCACCTTTTTTGGCTAAATTATATAGTCAAAAGTGAGGTGCGCATTAGATTTGATGGCGTGTTAGAATCGCACACTTAAACCCGTCTGCACTCCTCTGTCAGGCCAAGGCTAGTGAACTCTCCAGTCTTAGCCTAACAGAGTAGCACGGCTTGCCAACTGGCCTCATTCACAATGCCTTCAGAACCTCTCCTTCGGCTTTGAAGGTTTTGTAAATGAAGCCTTAGTAGAGAAGCTATTGCCAGAGTGGCAAGTCTTCCCCTTGCCTGTCAGGTAGCACTTCAGATAGGACATGCAAGGAGGTGTGCATTACAATCAATGGTGCATTATACTTGAATAAATACGGCAATGTTGGAGAAATCAACACTCGGCCTTAAATTGCTAGAAGAGTTAGTTTCTGATGTATGGCATTATATTTTAACTCTATTCAGATTTGGGAGTCCACCACAGAGAGAGCCAAACTGGCCTAGTAAGCCCCCACGACACCAGAACACAGACAGTGCTGCTGTGCCACCCCGGACATTCATCAACCGGAATCCAGCAGGGACAGGACGCATGCCCCCACCTAGGACTTTCCCAAGGCCTGGTGGCTACAAAGAGACTCGCCCAAGCTATCGTGCTGTGGATGTGAACAGCCAGCATGCTCCTCGCTTCAGTGAGCAGTCAAAGCATGAGAGCAGTTATCGGCCTAGGCGCTCAGAACCAGTACCTGCACGGGAGCCTTCTCCTGAGCCAGAGATCTTGTATGTTCGCAACAGCCCTGAGAGAAAGGAAGAGATAGTTCCAGAAGTCCAGCCAACTCCTTCAGATATTTTGCAGCCACCTCCAGATAGGCCTGTGGAAAAGAAGTCGTATTCTCGAGCGAGGAGGACCAGGAACAAAGCAGGCGAGACGGGGAAACTGGCAGATGAGGTCCCACTTCCATCGGCGTTGGCACCTGTGCCACTGAAGACGGCGGAAGTTATACCATCCCCTTCCCCAGCAAAGACTAATAACTGGGAGGTGCCTGTTGAAACGAGTCTAGATGGTCTCGAGCAGGATATGACCCAGATGAGTATAACAGAACAGAACTGGAACCAGGGCCAACCTCAGTTCATACAACCTCAGGGTAAGTGGTTAGAATTGTGGTAATTCATTTCCTAACTTTTATTATTCACCTATACAGAGAAATTAAAGAAGAGGTAAAGGTTTGTGTGTGGTCAAACATTAAAAACTAAGAAGATTGTAGCCAAAAATATTTGATTGTTTCAGGTCAGCATGTTTTTTTTTAGCTTTGCTTTTTTTCTTTTCCAATGTATTTTTCCCAGAAAAAAATAACTTCTTAACTTGCATTTGACATTCACCTTCTCAATCACTAACATGCATTTGAGTCTCACCTTTCAACATAGATTTCCTAAGCATTGCCTACCCATTCCTGGATCCCTTCTCAGGTTCTCACTTTCATTGGGCCATGCAACCATTTTGAATCTGGCATTAGCAGTGTTAAGTATGCATAGTTTCATTATATATGCTTTATATGAGGCTCATAATTGCTTAGGAAGAAAGAAGGTTGGAGCGCAGAGGGGAGCCAAAGAAGACATTCATCTATATATGCTGGTTCAACGAAATTTGAATTGCAATGATGTTTTGGCCATCTAACAGCTGGGAAATTGGTTAGGATTTCTGGGAGTTGTAGGATAAAACATCTGGGGATCCGCAGGTTGAGAATCACTGCTCTAGATTGAGACATGAAACTCAACAGGTGCTCCTCAAGCTACACAGGTGATTAGATATCACTTGTTCTGAGTGGGCAGGGTTCCGCATGGATAAAGCTATTTCAACTGAGCGAGCAGGGGAATTGATAATAGAAGAACCTTTACTCTACCCTGATGTTCAGCCTTAGGAAAGATTGTGGGAGAGAAATCCACAGATTCTCCAGTTTTAACATAGCACTATGTGTGAGTTACCTGCCTTTATATTTAAAGGCCTCCACATTTGTGGATTTGACATTTGGGATTTGGGTTATTCAGAGTTGAGCACTACCAATATGTTCTCTCTAGGAAACTTTACATCCTCCAATGTGACCCTATGGTCAACTGCCACTGGAAATTGACCATAGAGTCATTCTGGAGAATCTAGAGACCCCTAGAGATATGTTCTTTTCCTCTTTTTTAGGGGTGTTGTACCCCTAACCCTGGCAGCTATGTAGGGCTGAATGTAGTAAGGTTATTGTATTGGGCCTGTTTTGAGTATCACATCCTATACACAGGATCAAGAAAAGGTAGTTTTGGGCTTGCATGTGTCCTTCCCTATCTCCCTTCTGCCTCCCCCCTAAAGCTGGCAAGTAACATTTGTTTACATTTTCATCTTTACCATGAACTCTCTGAGTGTGCTCTCTATCTTTCTGTTCTTTTAAATGATACTGTAAACTAAGGTTAGTAGTAATCATTACCTTGTTTTCTTTTTTATTCCTTTTTCCATCAGGTATTCCCAACCAGATGCACATTGGAGCAGCCCCACCGCCACAGTTCAACAGAATGGAAGAGATGGTAAAGCCCCATGTCTCTTTCCTGCTCCTCAAATGAATTGGCAGCTAGGGGGCAGGCAGTAGCCACATAATTCCTCATGACAAGTCTCTACTGGCAGTAATAAAAAAGCCCAAAATAAAGCAATTGTGATAATTATGCAATTGGAGTCAAACAGAATGTTTGCCAGTGTGATGGGTTGCTATTGGCTTAATTTGTTTACCACACCAGTATTTTTCAAGCACAGAGTAGGATGCAGTCTGTTGACACAAGGGGCCTATAAATGCATTGCAGGACTGACAACCAAACGCAGAGAACAAGAATACCATCTCTCCATTTGAAATCTTCAACCAAACTTATTTTTCTTTTTCTCATCCTGCTTCATGAACATCTTATTGTAGTTCCCCTTCTTATTACCATCATCCTGAATCTTCAGGAATCAGCAGGGTAGGAATTCAAGTGACAAGTGCCTGGGCAGCTGCTGATCCACCCTTGACTGTGAGGTCTCAAAACCTGAAGTCTGAGCTTAAATTCTCAGAGTTCTGCATAAGAAACTCTTTGAGGCACATAAGATGTGAATGAACCTTATAAATGATAAGAGGCATAGTTTTTAACTAATAGAGCTCCCTGGGCAGCAGGTGGGTGTTTTCTTATGTGATTGTCGGTTATGAATTTATACTCTGTTGTGCTTTTTACAGGGCGTTCAGGGAGGGCGAGCAAAGCGTTACTCGTCGCAACGTCAGCGGCCTGTCCCAGAACCTCCTCCACCAGTGCACATAAGCATAATGGATGGGCACTACTATGACACATGTAAGTTGCTCACTGCTACTGTGGGTATTTTTAATGCCAGTCTTTATTGGGTTTCATGACTCTGTAAAACAAGAATGAGTTTCCGAAGCACCCAGTGAGAAAAGACAGATTTATTTGCAATAGAATGAGTGGAAAGAGGACAAGGAATCTCTTAGTTGAATGAAAGCCTTTTCCAGATGGATAGGATCAGAGCCAATTTCCATATGGATAGGATCAGAGCCAAAAATAGAGCCAATTATGATAGTAACAGAGCCAGAATTACCTTGTGGACTTCATTGCTGAGTGAATTTTGGAATGACTGGTCTCCTCAGCTCAAGTCTCAAGGAATAACGATCTTGACAGATTACAGAGATGGGCCAAAACTAACAAAATGAAGTTCAACAGTGACAAATGCAAGACTTTGGCAGAAAAAATGAAATGCAAAGCTGGAATGTGTCCAGAGGAGGGCGACTAAAATGATCAAGGGTCTGGAGAACAAGCCCTATGAGGAGCGGCTTAGGGAACTGGGCATGTTTAGCCTGAAGAAGAGAAGGCTGAGAGGAGATATGATAGCCATGTATAAATATGTGAGAGGAAGCCACAGGGAGGAGGGAGCAAGCTTGTTTTCTGCTTCCTTGGAGACTAGGACGCGGAACAATGGCTTCAAACTACAAGAGAGGAGATTCCATCTGAACATTAGGAAGAACTTCCTGACTGTGAGAGCCGTTTAGCAGTGGAACTCTTTGCCCCGGAGTGTGGTGGAGGCTCCTTCTTTGGAAGCTTTTAAGCAGAGGCTGGATGGCCATTTGTCAGGGGTGATTTGAATGCAATATTCCTGCTTCTTGGCAGGGGGTTGGACTGGATGGCCCATGAGGTCTCTTCCAACTCTTTGATTCTATGATGATTCTATGAATAACCTCTTGATTATTCCCCACTAAGATATTAGTGGGAAGAACTGTTTCATGAAGGACCTCTTTCACATGTCCTCATGGCAATGGTATCTTTGTATGTAATTGCTATCCTGCCCGTGCTATGAAATAAAGACTGTATTTAATGCCTTGTCATTATAGTACAGTTCCAGGGACCGATCTACACTCACAGCGAGAATCCTGCCCCGTTACCTCCACAAAGAGTGATTGTTCAGCCAGAAATGCATCTCCCACATCCAGGTAGGGACTGTCTTCTCACTTTTCATTATATTCTCTTTAACCTCTTTCACCTAATTTTTGTGGAAATTCTTGATGCGAAATTTCTGATTTTAGCATGTTAGGACATATGCTTTAGTGTTTAAAAAGTGACAAGAGACAGTAAAAGTTGTCCTGCTGCAAATACCTATTTACAAATACATGAAGGCTGTTCTTCTGCAAAACCTGCCAGAAATACCTGTCAGAATGCAAAAATTCAACACATGTTAGCTAGCTTAGTGATGAGATGCATAAGGATGGAAAAACTTTGGGGAGATATTCTCTCTCTGTAGATGGTAGCACCCAAAATGGGTGGAAATAATCAATTCGCCCAGCTGGGGAGGTGTCAGATAAATTGTGAACTCGTATAGCAGCAAGAATTTTTTTTTTTTAAATACCTAGGATTTGATTGCTAGTTAATCCCACATTTCTTGGGACATGCATATACACATCACTCTATTGGAAAACTTTCCAATTCAAAGGAAGGTTTTCTGAATTAGATAGGCCTGCCATCAGAATCTGGGGACAATTTTAATTCTTTAACTACTTGCTTGTATTGCCTAAGAGATAATGTGCACATTACACAACCTGCCTCAGAGAGAAGAACAGTCATCTTCAAGGCTCTGAAAGCCTTTCCTCAATGCCCACAGTCTTATTTTATTTGTCCATCTTGTTTCTTCTTCTCTGCCTGCACTGGGTTTTTTTTTTTAAAGTGGAGAGAGTATTATTTTGCTCTTCTGCCAACAAGAAAGGTTTGGTTCTGCAGAATTCACCCCCACAAACAGAAGGAAGGGGAATGAGAGAATTACATTGCAAAAAGATACTCCCAAGTGACTCGGTCCTTATAGGAAGCAAACAATGAATTCTCCCAGCAAAGTTCTGCACCAGAGAGATAAACTGTTATGCACTTCACCGTCTTTTTGCTATGGCGTTTTGATGGCAGATTCAGTTGTTTCTGACTACTTTGTCTGTGTCCACCAGGATTGCATCCCCACCAGACACCTGCACCTTTAGCGAACCCGGGTTTGTATCCTCCGCCGGTCTCCATGCCTCCTGGACAGCCACCGCCGCCACCACCACCTCCACAACAACTGCTGGCACCAACCTATTTCCCTCCTCCTCCCGGAGTGATGAATTTTGGCAGCCCTAGTTACCCCTATCCTCCAGGAGCTCTCCCACCACCCCCACCTCCCCACCTTTACCCCAACGCTCAAGTAAGTTTGTTTTGCTGTTTCATCTCTAAACATTGAATTCCAAAATGGGAAGTAACAAGGAGACTATAGGACAAAATCCTGTACTGATCTGTATAGGCAAGACTACTCTTAGGACAGGACTTTCTCCTGTTGCTAGAGTAATATGGTAAACCTTCTAAATGAATGGCATTTAGAATCCTCTGTTTATGTTCAGGGATAATATTTTGTGAACAAATGAAGAGATAAATGTAGGCAGCATAAATATTCTTTCCTTACGTAGTCCCTGCGATGCATACAATTGATATTCCCTGCGCTCGCGCAGCAGCATTCGGAACCTTCCAAATCAAAAATAATGACAGTTAGATAGGCCACGCCCCCTCCCTCTGGTATAAGTAGCCCGTGGGCGGAGATAGTTTCTATATGAAAATGGGCAGATTAAAAATTTCCGTTGTGTTTTTCTGTTTTGATCTGTGCATATGTTGTTCTTTTTGTTTGTCAAGTTAAGAAAAGATGTATTAAAATCACTATGGAACAAACAATGGTTTCCTTTTCTCTGTACAGGCCCAGTCTCAGGTGTATGGAGGGGTCACCTATTATAATACAGTCCAGCAGCAAGTGCAGCCAAAACCTTCTCCACCACGAAGAACATCCCAGCCGGTTACTATCAAGCCACCACCTCCTGAGGTAACTGTTATTTTGCCTACCCCATTTCTCTGCTGACATGTGGTACTTCCATGAATGGAAGTTCACAACTCTCTTTTGCCCACACAGATGGTTGTGAGGGCAGAAAATGGTCACTTTCCTGTTGTTTTGATGTGTTGCAAATTCTAGCTTCTCGTTGCAGGTTGTAAACAGGGCTCCAGTTAACATTTCTAAACGCTTTTAAAGGTGAGCTTAGAAGTTAAAATCAAAGTTAATATAAGGACCCTGTTCAATTAAATAAAAAATGCACCATGCTGTGTTGCAACTTCTTACATATAAGTTTATATTATATGAGAAATTATTTTTCAATGCATCTGGTTGCCTTGTTTTGCTTTCTTGATGTAACAAACCATTTACTTGACTTGAAACCCATGTTTCTACCTCTTTTTTAAAGTTTGTGTCCCCTTTATTTTGAGTTTGTATTTTACATCATATCAGAATGCCAGTTTTTATTGTCCCAACTGACAAATAATTTCCTCAGAGAATCATAGACCTCACTCTCACTGAGAGTAGACCCGTGACGGACTGTACATTATTATATTGAGGTGGAGTGGGGAATTTCAGTGATGTTCAGATTACTGTATTTATTCAAGTGTGATGTGTCATTGATTGTAATGTGCACCTCAATTTTCAAATGCCTGGGTGGAAAAAAATGATTTGCTGGCAAGTGTAGTTCACCTGTTGGCCACTTTGCCGTGTACCCAATCACCCAACTTCTGTGATTCCTGGTGCCCCAAACCGCCTTCAGGACCCATGAAGGAACCCCAAGTACGCTTCTCACATGAAAATAAAGCAGATCTGACAACGTGGTCAACAGGAAGATGGCAGGCTCAGATGGAGGGGAGGCAGGTTACCTCAGACGTGCTGAAGAGCCCAAGGAACCAATAATGCCTTTCCTGGACTCAAGGGATGGAGGCCACAAGTTTCAAGGCCACTCTGCAGAGTGACCCTGAGCCCCTGTCGCCACTCCTCCTTTACCTTGCAAGAGTGAGAAAAAGAAGGGGAAAGAGGAGAGGAATACTGTGTGTTCCTTGGAGCAGAGCTTTCCAAACTCTACAAAGGGACAGTGTTTTGGATTGCATGGGTACAGACTTGGGTTGGTGACAGGCAAAGCAGAGCCGCGCAGGTGGTAGGGCAGCAGAAGTGGGTCCCCTTGTGGGTCTTGAGGGCAACTTTGGACACCAGGGAGTTCAGAAATTTGGTAGTTGGGGTCTGCTGCTGCAGATGCTCACCACATGGCTAGCTGGCCAAGAAGGTAGGGGACACAATGAAGTGACCAACAGATGGGGGTTGCCTGTACAATTCTATTGTGCCATAGAGAGTAATGTATGCTCAGGTTTCGGATATATTATTTAGCAAAAAAGGACTCGCATTACACTCAAATAAATATGGTGGACATGCCTATGTAATTGGCATGTACACAGTTGTACACAGTCTCCCTATGTACACAGCTAGTGTGTCCGGAAGGATGAACTGTGACTCTACTTCCTGAAAATACGTTGTATTATGAATATTATTTTTTCTGTTAAGGGCATTCACCTGAAGTACTTCACACCAGAAATAGGTTTGCTACCTCAGTTAAAAACTAAACCACAATAAATTTCAAATGACAGTCAGAAAGTTCAGGATCTTTTCTCTCCCCAAAATCCCTGCTTTTAGGATAAACCTTCTGAATATGAAGTGCAGTACTTCATGGTGGAGGCTTTGGTGAAGTAACGTGTTTAGAAAGGAATCACCTGGAATCAGCTAACAAATCGGGTAAATAGTTAGTGTATAAACTAAGAAAAGAAAAATAAATTAATTACAGCAATAAAACAAAGAGAAATGAATGACAAATAATGAAACGATTGAAGATTTTCCACAAATAGTATGCAAAGTTGTAGAAGAGAAGTTAATTATTTCATGTTGAATTTGATAACTATTTGATGGTGAGCAAATTTCCAGAATTGACAAAAGAAAGGGTCCCCTGATCAAAAGAGTCTCAAATCTTGATCCAGTGACAAACTGAAGAATTGAAGTGTGCAAATAGCTCAATGGCTTGTCTACCTTGTGATTACCAAGCAGGATGTAATGATCAGGGATATGACAAGACATTGGTTAGATGCAGGTCATGCAAAAACAAAAAAAAACACAGTTTGTAATTAAAATAATTTAGAGCAATGATGGAAAATATGTGGCTCTCCATTCGTTTTTTCCTGACCATTTGCTGGTTAAGAGATAGGGCCTGCAACATCTGGAGAGCCTCAGGTTTCTTCGCTCCGGGATTTAACTTAGAAGTGAATAAGCGACTTGTGGTTAAAGGGGGAATGAGCATAGGGGGTGAAGTTAAAGAACCTTCCCTTGACCTACCACAGCACAGATTTATCTTTGTTGCTACCAGCTCCTAACCCATGTTAATAGAAATTATGGTTTCTTTGTTTGTTTCTAGGATGGCAGAAATGAAAAATCCAGAGAGAGAAGCAACACTTAAAGGACTCAGCCTTTTACTGATTTCAGTAAGGTAGCAGAGTTGGCATCGGTGCCAAACAGAAGGCAACTCCACAGAGTGGAGTTTTTCCTCTTGTTCTTTTGGTAATAGGCGATGCGCATGGATGTGTGCCCTTCTGCGAGGCCACATTGTGTCAGTATCGTGATTGGGGCCAGACTGCTGATCAGGAGAGCACCAGCGAAATCACACATCTTTCCAGTCTCCCTCTCACCCTAATGCAAAGAGGCTATACAAATGTTGGATGTAGGATTTCTCTGCTCACTGAGAGAGAAGCAGTCTCATTCTATTGTTTTCTAAGTGTGGCTGTTTGTAGACGTCCTTATGTTAATTCCCCTTTGAAGAACTTGACATAGTTTTATTTCTGTTCTGTTTAACTGGTCTTGTTAATTTTACTTGAGTTGTGTGAATATGTTCTTTGCTGATCCCCCCCCCCTTTAAATAATTTAATTTTAAAGAAAATCATCCTAGTGAAAAGTCTTAGTTTCTTGGATTAAAATTAAAGAGGACTCTCGGGAGGGTCATCTGTCTACAAGCGGAAGTTGTCTTTTTGAATTCATTTCCTAGGGAAATTATCCTGAATTTAAAAATTAGCCCCAGCAGCACAAGTGTGCTTTACCCTTTCCGCCCTGAGCTCTTCCCAGCATCGCCACCATATTGAGAAAGGGCAAAATCATTAAACGTGCTCCAGTAAACCCAATATATGCTTCTGTGTTGAATAGCCTGCAATAACCTGTAAACATGGAAAGTTTGTTTTCTCCTCTGACCCTTACAACAGCACTGACTGTTTTTCGGAACCTTTCTAGTGTCATCAGGCTATTGGACTGTTTGCTTGCACTTTGCAGCTTACACTTTGCCTGCCAACTTGCATGGCTTTGTATGCTTTTCTGATTCATTTACAAAACCATTGCTGTTAGGTGGCCAGCCAACAGCTATTTATACTGGGAGGGGAAATTCCCAGCACTGGCACAAGTTTGCTGCAAGTTATTCTGGGCACCTTTGCTTTTTACTTCTGCTCACAGATGTGGAGCTTCATACCTGAAATACCAGGGTGCATTTTTTTTAGTTTGATAACCCTTTTAATTTAATTTTTTAAAAAACAAGTACTACTGGCATTTAGATAAAATCTCTTGATGTTTTGAAGTATGGTGGTTGTTTTGAAGTATGTTCTACTTTAACGCCTGGAATTTACCCTTTTAACATATCAGTCTTGAAACCTTAGACCTAATGACACTGTGATAGCTTTTTTGTTAATAAATTTTTTGTCCCTGTTCTTCCTTGAGTGCCCTCTTTTGTAAATGGTATTCCTTGATGTACAAAAGATAGTAGAAATTGCTAGGTTGTCATCTTTTGTTTCTTGGGTCTCGCAGCAAATCTACAAAGGAAGGCTTGCATATGATAACCTACAACCTGAAATAGATGCAAATAATTAACAGAATCATGGAAATGTATGTCATGCATTTTATTTCATTTATTGCTTATACAAGTCGACCTCATATAAGCCTAGGGGTTTGTAGCTGAAGGGAGGAGAGTGTCACCACTGCCTAGGCATTCAGAAAGTTCAGAAGTGGCACCACAGCAGAGAGATACAGGAGCAGTGCTTTTTTAGGTTCTTCTAGAACCCACTGATCTCTTGCCTTTTGCCTCTGTACTCAGAGAAGGGAATGTATTTTGTTGATAACACTTAAAAGAACAGCACTCGCATAGGACCCATGGATAAGTCGACCCAGGTTTTGGGGGTTAATTTTTTTGACTAAAGTTTTTAGTTTCATTTAAGTTGGTTTCATCTTCTAAAACATTAGCAAATGTTGTTTTGAAAAGATGAGATTGGCAGGTGAGCAGATAGAATATTTTTTAAATGAGATGAGTGGTTGTTATACCAAAGTGCAGCTGTATTGAATATGGAATCCCTTTTGACGATTTTTCTTAATAAAAATAGGACTACCTAAATTCCAATTGCTTTATAAGCCTTCTCTTGGGGCCACTACTGCTTTTCTTCTTAAACTGTGGGACCCAACTTCAGATAGCTGAACTTTGGGGTCTCAAAAATTTGTCAACAGTAAAGGTATTTGTTAGGGCCAGCTTCTGCCAACCTAGCTGTTCGAAAACATGCAAATGTGGGTAGATCAATAGGTAACGCTTTTGCGGGAAGGTAACAGCACTCCATGCAGACATGATGGCCACATGACCTGGGAGGTGTCTACGGATAACACCAGCTCTGGCTTAGAAATGGAGATGAGCACCACCTCCCAGAGTCAGACATAACTAGACTTAATGTCAGGGGAAACCTTTACCTTTACTTTTTTTAAAGGTATCTAAACACCACTCATTTAGCAACAACATGCAGAGGTTACAATGGACCCTGCAGAAAATGCTTCAGCTGTACTCCACAAAAAAGGACAATCAGACAGTTTAGCAAATCTTGCAAGTGCTGATTTATTGTCAGTAAATGTAATATTTGGGCCTATTTTATTTTCCCAGGGGTATGTTAACATTTCTAGGGCAGAAAGGGCTTGTCATTGAAAAAAGAAGCCCTGCACTGCTGCATACGTGTCTAAGGAAGAGAGATTTGCCATGTTTACAAAAAACACACAAGGAAAATGTGGGAGGCTTGATTGAAATTTTTTATTGCACCCGTTAAATGCACCCACTCATTTCTTAGCTGAGGACTTCTACTTACTTTTTAGTTTTTTTGAGTCCTCTATATAATAGTGGACATGTTGCATTCTCTCTGAGACAGCATGACCTCGCAATAAGCAACTGAGTGAACAAATGCAGTCTGTCCATTTGTTCTCATTAACATCCCTCCCAGCAGAGGGCAGCATACCGCACACTGAGCCTTTCTATGGGCCATCGGTGAGTGTTTCTTGAAAAATTGAAATTAATCTCATTCATTGGACAATTCCTCAACTCTTTGACTTTTGATTGGCCTGCAGTAAAGTAATGCAAACAAGGAGGAGTATAAATTCTTCTTTGAAGGAAGAATTTGGCTAACAGTATAGCAACAAAAAGAAACCTCAAAGTATATATATCTAAAATGATGCTGAATAAGGCTATAGTGTGAAGAAAGAAGAGTAGAAAGAACATAACCTACGGGGAAAGTATCCCCCTCCAAAAAATATGTATTTAAAAAGTGCCTGGGGTTTTTTATTGGCATGGCCATTAATTTAGCCTTAATTCATCATCTGTAAAATAGGTTTAACATTGAATTTAAAAGTCAGGAACCAAATCCAAGAAATAAGATTAAGTACTTTGCAAAAATCCTCCATGACACAAACATCATATTTCCACTTGGGATGTGCCAACAATAAGTTTAGCTTTGTAAGCAAGCCAATATTAGTGTTGTAAGATGTGAATACATTAGCCAAAGCTAATGCCACTACCTATACCCCACAAATGCTTGATGAAGAAATATTCAGCTATCCCTACAATCTAATAGAAATGCGTCCACGGTTTTTACAGGGTCTTACGTGGAGGAACTGTTCAAAGTGGGTCCGTATCATTTTAATGAATTCAGAGGAATGGAACCATATGTTTCCTGTTATATTCGCTTTCTTGGAGCCCAGATCTCTGATGAAAACACCAGAATCTTTATTCTTGGCAGCTCCAAAGCAAACAGTTACACAATAGCAGCCCAGCCGTCATGTCGATGTTTCCTTCTTAGTCTGACTAGTGCCTTAAACCCACCAAGCAGGGTTTATCCAGCTCTGTCCATATTTAAAGTATACCCCTGCCTGGCCTTTGTGGAGTGACTGACCATGATATAAGCTAATCCTCTAGGATGGTTACTGCAAAAGTTATCTTGAAGTGGAGCTGAAACCAACTACCAAGGAAACTGGCAACCAGTCAACTTTAATGGCTGGAACAAATAGGGCAGAAAACTGGTCCTTGATATGAAACTCATAAGGCATTTTAATACTTTGTGCTGCCTCTGGAAGGCTTGCCTTCATTGATGGGGCATATGGGAAAAAATTCTTTTTAGTAAACATTGCATTTTGTTATATATGTGAATACTGCAGTGTATAAACGCACAGCATATGTAGCTTTCTTCATTTTGACCTACCCCCCTTGACTCTTTCTACATGGGCCACATATGTATGGGCAAATCACAGGAATAGGGGTGAGAAATAAGTCACCTACTCACCTTGGTAAGTGTGTCCTTAATATAGCTGGGAGGATTTCAAGACTGCCGGTTAATATAAACGACTGTTACACTTCTGCAATCGATCCAGGGCTTATTTTTCCACCCTGGGATCCAAAGTAAACCAGGAATGGCCAGTAATGCATTTTGGGGGGGAAAGTGATGGTGCTAAATTATTCTTATCAGGCTCTAGCAAACTATTTAAAAGTCAGATTATGCTTCTGGAGCCTTTTTGGGAGATGAGTTCTGCTTTATTTGTTGGTTTTTAAAAAGGCGGTCCATTGAGTCTAGCAACAATGTTAAGAAAACAACCTGGATTTTTTTTTTCTAATACTCTAAATATCAGATTTAACTGGTTTAAATATAATCAAACACATTCAACGCTTTATGTATAAATTATTGTAATGGGATGTGTAATAAAGTAAAGAGTACAGTATATTCTTCCCTTATATTTAATAAAAATGACTATATCTGAAGGAACACTATTTTTAAGGTCATGTAAGTTAAAGATAATTGTACTTTATATCAGCAGTTTGTGTTTTACTCAGTTATAACTAGTACTTACAGTTTCATTCATGTACTGTCCACTCTACTTATCAGTTCTGTTTAATGTTAAGAATAGATTATTTCAGTACAATTTGTTGAACATTTTGTGTTATTAAAGGATGTCAGTAAATCTGTGGACAGGCAATTTATCACAACTACTTGTACTTTGTGACTGATTGCAAAGTAAGAAATTTTGTGAAATAGACGCTTAGCAGAGTGTTCATTTGTTAGTCTACTTGGAGCATGTTGTCAGTGTTTGCTCCTTCAAAAAATAACTAGGATTTCATATTATATTTTAGTCCATTTGCCATCACGGATTGTGATTTAACAATCCAGACAGCTGTGGATAAACCTTTGTGTTGTATACATGTGTGTAGGCATACCTTTGTTAATAAAGCCTCTGACAAAGAAGCTTCTGTCTAGCTGGGTGCTTTTTTCCCGTTTCTTTTTACAACATTGATATTGGGAGGCTGGTGAAGAAGAATGAAACAAACACAGCTTTTCAGATGCCAAGTTGCAGTAGTCTGCACCTAACTGCAATAAAACGTCAGCTGGGAAAGAATGGGATTTTCCTCAGGCGATCAGTCCTATTGTACCCTTGTGCCTGCCTACAGCAGGCAAGGTAAACAGCACCTGCCTCTAAAACTGATTCTTTAATATTTTTTGTTGTTGTAAGTGGTCCTTCTGAAATTCACACCTATGGGCCCTTTGCCAATCAGGTGAAAACCACCAACCTCTTCTCAGAACGTAGCGGCAAATGGTTTTATGACACTCTGCATTGGTATGTTATTATTTAAAATTACATTTTACAACTTCCTCACAATTTCAATACCCGATTTCCTTTTGTTCAATGCCGATTACAATATGTGTTACCAGATAGTTGGCCAACTATGTCATACAATATTTTGTAAATGGCAGGAAAGTGATCACATGTGATCTAGCATTGAGTCTACCATAATTTCAAAGTATGGATCAGCATAAGCAATTTTTAGAGATATGCAACAACTGTAATGTGATGTGAAATGAATACTATTGTATTTTTTGCATACATTCATAAGTGGGGAAAATGCTCGCTTTCAATTAGAGGTCAGAGAATTTTTTCCCCCACGGACCTCCAGAAATCTTTCCGCAGACCTCAAGTTAAGATCTCTTGTTCTAGAATCTTTTACTTACTGTGTGGGCAGAAAAAAGGAAGAAACATCAACAGGCCTCACCAGATATGGTCAGTATGTAAAAAAAAAAAACCTCAATCTGTATGACTACCAAAATGGAGCTCATAACAATAACAATGGTGAAAGAATTGCCAAAATAGATGCATTTTAGAAAATACATTTCAGTTGCTCTCAAGCAAGTTCAAAATGTTTTTGTTTACTTTCGCAAAGTTTACCTGATATGATTATTTCATTTTCCCCTCGTGGTCACAGTTAGTAATCCAAGGAATGCTTTCATTAAGGGACCATTTCATCCTAGATTTGTCATGTTTCCGCCACCACAGGCAAGCATCCCAGAGTTCCTTGTGTGGAATTTGCATGACCCTGCCGACTGCCTCTCCCTTAACCCTTTCCTACCTTTTCCTAGCAAGGTAAAGGTAAAGGTTTTCCCCTGACATTAAGTCCAGTCGTGTCCGACTCTGGGGGGTGGTGCTAATCTCCATTTCTAAGCCGAAGAGCCAGCGTTGTCCATAGACACCTCCAAGGTCATGTGGCTGGCATAACTGTATGGAGCGCCGTTGCCTTCCCGCCGAAGCGGTACCTATTGATCTCACATTTGCACGTTTTTGAACTGCTAGGTTGGCAAAAGCTGGGGCTGCCAGCGGAAGCTCACACCGTTCCCCAGATTTGAACCTGCGACCTTTTGGTCAACAAGTTTAGCAGCTCAGCGGTTTAACCCACTGCGCCACCAGGGGAATCTAGCAAACACAGGAATTAATCAGCAACTGAACAGACTGGAAGGGTTTGGGGGACTACTCCACGGGATGGAAGTTGTAGTTCACCCTGCATCAAGTCAGAGAACTCTGGCCCTCTTCAATAATGGACCTGGACCACATTTGGCACACACAAGCCCATTGACCTTGATATATAAAGAGTTCACCTATATCCAGAGAGCACTGTGAACCCAGCCAATAATGGATTTAGACCAAACTTGACACAGACCCAACATGGCCAGCTGTGCATACTGGCAGGGTTTCGGCATTATTGCCCTGGGAATCTGGAAGTTGTAGTTCACCCTTATCCATAGAGCACTGAACCCAGTTGACAAAGGAACTGGACCAAACTATGCACACAGAACCAACATGGGCAACTATGATTACTAGCTGGGTTTGTGAGTGATTGCCCTGGGAGTCTGGGAGTTGTAGTTCACCCTTATGAAGCGAGCACTGAACCCAGCCGACGACGGATCTGGACCAAACTTTGAACACAGAAACAACATGGGCAACTATGATTACTAGCTGTGTTTGTGAGTGATTGCCCTGGGAGTCTGGAAGTTGTAGTTCACCCTTATGAAGCGAGCACTGAACCCAGCCAACAACAGATCTGGACCAAACTTTGCACACAGAACCAACATGGGCAACTATGATTACTAGCTGGGTTTGTGAGTGATTGCCCTGGGAGTCTGGAAGTTGTAGTTCACCCTTATGAAGCGAGCACTGAACCCAGCCGACGACGGATCTGGACCAAACTTTGCACACAGAACCAACATGGGCAACTGATTACTAGCTGGCTTGTGGGTGATTGCCCTCGGAATTTGGGAGTTGTAGTTCACCCTTATCTAGATATCACTGGACCCAGCTGATATCAGATCTGGACCACATTTGGCACACAGATCCAACATGGCCAACTTTGAATAATAGCAGGGTTTGGGGAGGATTATCTAACAATTCTGAGAATTGTAGTTCACCCACATCCTTATACATTTTCTATTGGGAGCATTCATAAAAAAACAACAAAAGGAATGACTGGTTTTGTTCTAATAAATAGTGTTAGCTGATATGATCAAACTTCAAAAAACAAAATAGCTGGGTTCCCAAGCTAGTTTTGAATAAAAATATTGCTGGAACTTGTTGAACTCATTTTTTTTTGTAGTGTAGGAACCTCATAATGTTATTTCTACCTTTGGTACCAAATGTTCTCTCAAAGAAGTAATGCTTAATGACACATCTGCTTCATCAACTGGTATATTCCAGTATATAATGAGGTGTGGACATGTTTCCTCACAAAAATGCATCATTTGAAGATTTTACACCTCATATCTTTTTATCACCTGGAGGATTTGAGAGCTGGGAATCCAACCTGAAGCTGCCTGATGCCCCAGGCCTTTGCTTTGCCTGCCCTGGTAGAGACAATAATGAAGCAGTTGGACCAATTACCTGGTAGGAAAAAGTTCTGTATGTTTTATGCAGGAGAGAATTCATACTATTTCTCACTTGTGTACAAAAATAGCAAGTATAGCAGGTTACCATGGTAAAAGCGATTGGGGTAATCTCAGTGGCTGAAAAAAAAAGGTTTTTGCACAGAAAGCCTCGGCTTTAATGTATGGCATCTTTATATAAGCCTGTGCAAGAGTCCTGTAGCCACCCAGACCAAGAGGCATTTACGCTATTCAATAAAATAAGAGTAATACAGCAATAAGTTGCATGCCTGTTGCAAATATGATTGCTACTATTGAAAAAGACCCAAGAAGGGGTGGGCTGGGGGGGGGGGGGAATATGCCGTGCCCAATAATCGCTATTACAATGGGAATCCATGCTGGTCAGAGTTCAGTTTGAATTAGGTTACCCGCAGGGGGTTAGCTTTGGACCAATGAAATAGTAACGGTGCATCTCTGGATATTACATGCCTTTTCTTTGACTTTGAGAAACTCCTTTAGACTTCCATTCATCTGGAATTGAGGGCCGGATTGCTGGAAGCCACACACACTGATGAAAGAAATGGTGAAATGGATGCAATTGTGTAACCTCCAGATTGCTTAGAGGAGTGGTTCTCAACCTTCCTACTGCCGCAACCCCTTAATACAGTTCCTCATGTTGTGGTGACCCCCAACCATAAAATTATTTGTGTTGCTACTTCATAACTAATTTTGCTACTGTTATAAAGCGTAATGTTATTGCCCCAACTCTATTGTCCATTTTCATCGCTATGATACTTCACCTTGTTGATGGGAAGCTTCCACCGTAGTGAAAACCATCTATAGGACAGATGGCAAGCTTTTTAACTTCAGCTGAATGAAAGCTAAAACCAAGGTTAGAACAACATCTGTTATAGAACTCCAGTATGCTGATGACAATGTCGTCTACGCATTCAGAAGAAGATCTACAAGCCACTCTAAAAACCTTTGCAGAAGCATACAAGAATCTCAGCCTGTCATTGAACATCGAGAAAACCAAGTGCTGTTCCAGCAGTCACCAGCCAATCCCTTTCCAATGCCAGAGATACAGATTAATGGTGTAACATTAAAAAATGTTGACCATTTCCACTATCTTGGCAGTCACCTCTCCACCAAAGTCAACATCGACACTGAGCTCTGTGAGTGCAGCATTTTTCCGAATGAAGCAGAGAGTGTTTGAGGACAGGGACATCCGTAGGGAGACCAAGGTGCTTGTTTATAAAACTATTGTCCTCCCAACCCTGCTATATGCCTGTGAAACGTGGACTGTCTACAGACATCACTCTTGGCATTCTTTCAGGATTCCTCTGACATTCTTGATGGAGTTATTAAACCAAGATATACCCTGCAGTAAAATAAAGTGTCACTTCAGTATAAAAGTTCAAACAGGGCAAGAATATATACAGTAGTCTCGTTGAGCTCACATGGATAATAGAGGGAATAAAACAGTCCTTTAAAATAGTCTTTAAATATGTATTTATTTATTTGTTTCATTTATATACTGATTTTCTCAGCCCTCGGGCGACTCGAAAGCGGTTAACAATAGCAAAAATTCAATGTTTGACATCATAAAAACAGTTAAAAATGATTAAAATAATAACATAATAAACAGTTAAACATCAATATAACATCTCATTAGCGTCTCAAGTAAAATCAAGTTCCAATCTCATCATCTGTTGTTCCGTATTCCTATGTTCATTACACTGCCTATTCAAATGCCTGCTCGAACAACCAGGTCTTCACTTTCCTCCGAAATGCCAATAGGGAGGGGACCAATCTAATTTCCGTAGGAAGGGCGTTCCACAGCCAAGGGGCCACCACTGAGAAGGCCCTGTCTCTCGTCCCCGCCAGACATACCTGTGATGCAGGCGGGACCAAGAGCAGGGCCTCCTGTATTGTATTGTGTCTTAAAATGATCAGGCTTCAAGATAGTTGGCAGACAGCACTCTCTTCACCGTCCAAAGTGAAAGATGGAAATGGCAGTTAGAACCGTTGGTCTCAGCAGCAAGCCAGAAACAGCAGCCAAT